CACATTCTATAAGAAAATATTTTTTTCCGGTCGATCCGAGACAATTTTTTTTTCTGGGCAAAAAAAGGCAGTTATTACCTTCCTTTTTTACCAAAAATCGACTGCACCAAAATTTCTCGGGAAAAAACTTTTTCTGATTAATTTGGGTGCGTAGAATCCAAAACAATTCGTACTTTTTCGATTAGACGTCTCAATCAAAATTTATGGGCAAAAAAAATTCCTGTTTTTTAAAAACCAAAATTGCTCTCTATATACGAGTATACCTATACCTAATAGCTATGATGATAACTCAATTCTTCTGGGGCTCCGTAACTACGCTACTGTATCATTCGTCCGATGATATGCGTGACTGAATTGGGGATCAACAACTACCCCACTCTACCCCACTTACATGTGTGACAGGGGGTGACCATTTTTCCCACAACAACAAACTACTGCCAGAACGCCTGGTACAGGAGAGCCTAAACAACCCTTCGGGACAGCGCGCCGAAGCTAAAAAAGATTAGGCAAGGACCTGGGGGCTCTAGGCAACCTGACCTCCCATCGCTGCTGAAGTGGAGTAACCTGGGAGCTCTAAGCAATCAGCTGTGGTGTTTGATGGTAGAAGGACTGTTGAAGAGATTATGTTAGGCGGGCTACACCACAGTTGCCTATGTGCCGTGCCGATGATACAGTGATTGTGGTACGTGGCACTGGCAGGTTTGAGGAAACCGCATCCGTGAGCTTCAAATCTAGTGGAAACATGGTACGAATGGTAGACAATACCGAGGAGCACAGGAACCGACTGGGACCACTCCTAGCACTATCATTTAATGTAACAATAATACTACAAGCGACGCATTTTTGTAGGTATGCAACCCGCAATGCGGTAGTTGTACTATCTTTGTTTAGTACATATAGCATACGTAGAACCACCATAGTCTGTCTTTTTTTCGTGCCCCATCCCGTGGTAGTATTACGATCTTTGTTTAGTATACATAGACAGGGAAGAGAGGAACCACCCTACTTTCCTTTTCTCGCGTCCCTTTCTCACTCGTGTTTAGTAGGAAAGTCCGTAGTTACGAAAACAAAAGTAGTTCGCATGCATCGTAGTTAACGTGTCCCCTAGTAACTTTTGCGATTAAAAGTGTGGTAGCGCCGCTTGTGCGTGGTGACGTAAACTTTATAAACTACGAAAAAAGCCTATCGAAAATGGCTTCCTTTGTAATCAAGTGTACGCTTTATTTATAAATTAATCGTTTTGTTATTAATACGCGCTTTAAAATGATTACAAATAAGTAGTAAGGTTTCCAATCACGTTCTTCAGTGTGTTGATAGACATTAGTGGGGTGTTCTCGACGTATTTAACCTGATCCATTACAAAGCGTTGGTAAGCGGCGGTGTTTTTTACTTTCTTTTCGTTCTTTAAACTATTTGTTCAGTCTGCTCTTTTAAATGTTCAAGAACTGTTCGTTTACGGATCTACATTTAAGTATTCCAGTTTCTGTTACCTTCGAGAGAAGGTAGTGTAACGTCTAATGTTTCCTGGCAGGTATCATGTTCAATAAAATACGCACTACCGGCTCGTGTTACAAGAAACTTGTTGCTCCTGTAGCACCTTCCCTCCGTTAGTTATAGTCCAGGACTCAAACCGAAACCTATCGGAGGACAAGCTGAAAATTGGGGTTCTAATTTGGTAGCGAAAAAACTCTCCAATTCGGATGTAGCTTCATTTTTTTTATGTGCTTAAAGTACCTTCCGTTAGTTTTGTAGTAGTGGCTACGCAGACGGCTAAATCTCGTCTGCCGAATTTGTTCAGTTCAAAGGTTCGAGGGTGGACCCTCGCAAAACTGGTAAGGTGCGATACATTGGAGAAAAAGCTTGACGATGCACGTCTTTACTTTCAGATTTTAAAATAATTTGAAAAAAAGCTGTACGGGGTGTCCCACTACGAATGGCAGCTCGGACTATTTACGAAGTTTAACATTATATACGTAAAAATAAAAATGTACATAAATTTAGCTGTTTTTGACATATTTTCAAATGTCAAAAATGGTGTTTGTGGCACAAATTTGCAAAATTTTTCTATTATTGTTTAATTAAGGATGGTTTCCTTTCAGAAGTTCTGTCCGTGTGTTGATGTTTAGATTATAAATATATACAAGGCGGTTCAAAAACTAACATTAAAAATTGGCTATTTAATATTTTTTTTGTTGTAAAAATGCTATTAAGTACTTACGAGTCATGGCCAACTTAACAAAAATTCTTGTCAAATGTATTCTGAGGTCTCCTTTACGTCGTGGGACAGCCTGTATATGTACATATACTCTAGATATTATTAATTCTTTGTAATTCAACGGAAGGTGTTTCAAATTGATCGGAGAATAGAAAAGTGCACAAGTTCTATACAGTCCGATAAATCTAATAGGGAGGTGGCCCACTCAAATCGCACATACCGAAAGACAAAATTATTAATAAATGATATAAAGCAAGAATTTCGTAATTTTTACTGCTATCAAAAAAGCTTCTAATATGTGACATTTTGGGCCAATTTTAAAAAATACCAAAATCAAAATTTGAAAATATTCGCTCGCCAGGGAAAATCAAAAATTGTCAATATCAGAATGAAAAGAGACACGAAAAAATGTTTATTACAAAATTACTTGCAGAGTAGTCCCCCGTTTTCAAAATAAGTACATATGCGATGTCAACAAAAAAGTTCCTGGACTTAACCTCATTTTTTAAATAGACCCTGTATAATCTAAAAAATTGCATAGTAAAATTTTCTTTTTTAATATATAACGCAATCGCAATAAATAGGGAAATAAAGAAAATTCAAAACACTGAAATTTTTTAAGTTTTTGAAAAATTAATATTGCATTTTTTAAATTTCTTTAGTGTTATATTTTTGAAAAGCGAATTTAATATGTTCCCTGTATAATCTAAAAAATTGCATACTAAAATTTTCTTTTTTAATATATAACGCAATCGCAATAAATAGGGAAATAAAAAAAGAATTCAAAACGCACTGAAATTTTTTAAGTTTTTGAAAAATGTAATATTGCATTTTTAAATTTCTTTAGTGTTATATTTTTGGAAAGCGTTCTTCTGTTCTTCTTCGAATAAAATATACAGAGCGTTCAACTTTAAAAAAATGAGGTTATGTCCTATAAATTTTTAAGGCCAATTCATAGCAAATTGTTGACGTTAAGCTTATGATTAATTTATAATGCAGCATGAAGATGGAGGTTGCCCCTCAGGAGGAACCGTTACATGATAATAATACGGAAGATGCGGTTGCGAGTAACGAGAACGGCGTGGGAGACGAGATTCAACCGGACGTGGCGGCGAAGGAGGCGGTTGTCGAAGAGCCGGTAGAACATGCGGTTTCTAAAGCAGAGGAGGAGGAGCAAGCGCTTAAAGAAGGCGGTGAGGTAGGAACCGTCGAGGAGGTGGCTGTAGTTCCGGAGGTAGCAGATCCTTTGACTGTGGAAGAGAGCGTGGAGACGGAGCCGGTTGTCAAATCTCAACCGGAAGTCGAGCCAGCACAACAGGTTGATGAAGTCGCTGTGGAGGAGACCGTAGCGGCTCCAGAGACCGAGGGGCATGTCACCGAAGAGTGTATGGAAGCGGCTCCGGTAGAACAGGACGAAATTCCTACGCTTGAGCAAGTCGTCGTCGAGGAGGCTCCTCCCACAGAGCTTACATTAGCGGAAGAACCTGCGGATGATTGCACCGATAAAGTTAATGGAATGCCTGTACTGATAAGCGAGGAGGAGGCAGCCAAAAATGGGGCCGAAGCGACAAAATCAAATGAGGATGACTTAGAGTCTGAGGAGGCAGATGAATCACATCCATCCGAAGCAAAAGAAACTACGATACCGCCTCACATACTCGGCCATTCTTTGGAAGTGGACGACGAGATCCGCAATGGAAAAGTGCGGAAACCGAGGTTGGGTGTCAAAATTCCGTACAGAAACCTCACGAGTCAAATTGTGTCGAAGCAAGAAATTGCGGAGGAGATCATGGAACGGTCGCGTATAAGGAATTTGACGGCCGAAGCGCCCGAAGGGGGCGACATCTTTTTTACAAAAAAACTCACCAAGAGGCTGGCCACCAAAATAGCCCCAACCCCGAAAGGTCAGTCAAGCGCGTCGGTAAAGGTTGAAGGTAGTCAGAAAAGTGGCAGTTCCAGTTCGAGCTCCCCAAAAGTTTCAACTCCAAGCAAGAAGGTAACGGATAGCGGCACCAAGAAAACGGGCGAAACTACCGCTAAGAAAGTGATGGACACTTCGGCTAAGATCAACGATAATTCGGATCTAATCGCAATTTTGGAAGGGGACGATGATTGGGATTTAATGCGGCTGAAAAGTAAGCCCCTGGAAAAACGCACGCCCGAATGGGAGCGGGAAACCGCCTTGAAGCAGTTGCGCGAGTTACCCAAGCATCGAGGTTACTCCAAATCCAGCTCCAAGAGTTCCCCCGAAAAATCAAAGCCTCCCCCGTCCGTCGAGGCCGCGGAAGAGGATCCTCTGCAAGCGGACGACAACCAAGAGCCCAAATTTTCCATGGGATTAGTCACAAAAACCTACACGCGAAAACGGAAATCTTCCGAAGATATTAAACTGCTAGCGGCCACCATTTTACAATCTCAAAAGAAAATTATCAGCGAGAAAGAGAAGAAGCCTTCCAGTTCCGCTCCAAATTCGGACAAGGTCAGTTCGCACTCGAAACCGAGAACCTACTCCCACAAGTCGACCAAAAACGAAATGCCCAGCCTAAAGAAGGAATCGGCAAGCGCGCCCGTCACGCCGAAACATTCCACAGTTCCGCCGACCCTCACCCCCAACGTGGACGCGTCCGAAATACCCGACAACCTCCAGCCGCAAGTGATCGTCGCGAAAGTGGCAATCGAAACCAAAACGCCGTCGCCCGCCAAAATCGTCAAAACCCCCCTCTCCTCGCCGAACACCTACATCAGCAAAAGCTCTCGAATCGTCAAAAAGAAGAAGATATGGGATCCCGACGAGGAGACCACGCCCAAATATTTCAAAGTGCCCAACCTAAAATCCCCCGAAACCGTTCACTCCGACACCCCGAAACCTTCCGTTCTCAAACCGAACAACGACAAGACGCCCGTCGTGAAGAAGCCGTCGATTAAAAAGGTCATGATGAAGAAGAAGAAGCCGAAACGTCTCACCGAGGTCGATCGTCTGCTAATGGACGAGGGCGCCGTGAATTTACTGTACGCGGTGAAGAACACCGACGAAATCGGGGGCGAGAAAAAGAAGAAGAGCGTGATATCGCTCGATCGCGCTCAGCGCGAGCTGAAGAACAAGACGAACGAGATCAAAAACGACCTGCAAATCAACAGCACGAAGGACTCGCCGATCTCGCTCCGAAAGAAGGAGGGACCGTCGAAGACCACGCCCACCAAGGAGATCGCCGCCTCGGTGCTACATCGGAAGAAGTCGACGAGCTCGGCGAACAGTCCGCCGGCGTCCCCCGCGTCCTACAATCAGCACGCGGAGGCGTCGCGCATAATCAGGCGGCATTCGAGCAGCTCGTTCTCGAGCGAGAATCCCGAGGGCGACGATTCGGATAGGGGCATCAGACAGAAGTCGGACGGGACGCGTAGGAAGATACGGCCGCGCTCCGAGAGGAACTCGTCGACGTTCATTATTCAGCACCAGGACGGCGACGAGGTGGAATCGGTGATGACGTCGTCCGACGAGAAGTACTCGAGGTTCGGCACATTCAAAGTGGTGACGTTTCCCAATTTCGTCCAGATTATTTTGGAGCCGCAACCGACGGGGCGTACGACTTTGTCGGTTGATGTAAGTATCGACATTTTTAATACTCCGAATTGGCAACAAAATCAAATCAGAAACAAAGAGGGCTGGGATTTAGTAGTACTTCTAGCATAGGAAATATAAAATATTGTTGTGACCCCACGTTGGGCGCCAAATGAATAATCTTGGGTGAGTTGGTATGCGGTCAACTACACCGGCCACAATCTTAGATATGAAGAGAATAATCTGACAAAAGCTATTGGGGTCGTACAATGGGTTCGAATAAACACACAATTTGACAATGATAAAAAAAATTATTTTTTTAAAATTTTATTTAAACGAAATATTTAAAAAAAAATTTTTTGTTATTCCGAAACACATACAATGAAAATAAACACACTGTTCCTATAGAATTTTAATTGTTTCTTGTACTCGATCCCACTTCTGAGTTTTAAAAATCGAACTATTCGCAATGGATTAGTCCGTGCCATAACTCTGCGCGTGTTTCAGTCGTTAACAGAACTGAGGGCGATGCTGCACCTGTTGTCGAACGACGATGAGTGCTCCGTAGTTCTACTCTCGTCTTCGGGGAAGACGTTCTGCGAGGGGCTCAACTACAAGGAGCTGTACTGTAATAACAGAATCGAGTGCATGAACATCGCCGAGAATTACGCGATGTCCGTGCGGTAAGTAAACGACGTACGTCGCGCTTCGCTGAGGCTAACTTCTTCGTCACTAGGGATTTTCTGATCAGTCTCGCTCAGTTCCCGAAGATTTTGGTCGCGGGCGTTCACGGCAACGCGATGGGACTGGCCGTGACCATGCTGCCCCTGTTCGATATGGTATTCGCGAGCGACGCGGCCAAGTTCAGTGTACCGTACGCGTCGCTGGGGTGCGCTGCGGAAGGCGGCGTATTGCTTTCGGCGCCGCACGTGATGAACGGCGCCTTGGTAAGTGTTTTCCGACGCGGCGCGTCTGATTATCTGACCGGTTTTTTTGTAGGCAAGCGAATTGTTTTTCGGCTCGCGCAAGTTGACGGCAAGTGACGCTTTACGGTTAGGGTTAGTGACGCGGACCTTTTGGCCCGAGAAGTTTCAGGATGAACTGATATCGGTTTTAAAAGCTATAGCAGATCAATCGCAGCAGGTAACTAACTATCAACGTTTCTGTTGGTTTGGTAGATTTAAAGTCACTAAATATAGAAAGTACCGCAATCCATTGGGCTCGTGTGTTAGAGAGAGAACGCATGATTTTTGCCCCAAAATGGCGGAAGTTACCAGATTCTAGTAACTTTAATGTTAGGGATTGTTTCACCTGTTTGGAGATATCTGTATATATTTTTTTTCACTACTAGCGTCTGATGACATGATTATTAACCTTTTTTCCACTTGTAAAGTAGGCTTTCTCGGCATTTGTTCAAAGTGGTTAATAATTTTTTATTATTAACTAGTAGTCAATAATGAGAACTGTCACGCTGTCACTTTTAGAAAACACAACCCGAAATTTCGCTCAATGAACGTTTAGACAAGTTCTCTAAAACGAATAATTGCCACCATTCGCAATTTCCAGAGAAATTACATACCTAAAATTATCACATTTTGAAAAAATTCGAACGAAATTACTCTTTGAAAAATCTCAATGACAGAACAAAACGGTTTGTTTGACTTGTACTTCCACGTACTTGATTGACATGTTAAATTAAGAAACAAACAATTCTGTCCAACCGTTAACTCTCTTATCAATATAATATGTTAATTTAGAGGATTTCAAGTGCTAGTAGTGAAAAAAATAGTATATATACCACGGTAGAGAAGTCTATTATTGCCTTCGCACCTTACACCCCTCGGCGCAAGCGCCTCGAGATGTAATCTTGGTGCTCAGGCAATAATAGTGGACTTCTCTACCTTGATATATAATGTACTATTATTTTTCATTTGCCTATTATATGCCAATTATATCTGTCATATGAGATATATAAAGCAGTGACAATCCATTATGCTCTCAAACTGCCTGTCAAATATATTGATGGAGTTATGTCATAATAAAAGATGCTACTTGATTCGTATGAAGCACTAACAATAATCATTACATTTTTATATTGGAAATGCATTATTTGGAACGATGAAAAATAAAATGTTGTATGCACCTCAGGCATTACTCGATATTTAACCCTCGGGCGACTTACAATCCCTCGGGCCAGAGGCGCTCGGGCTCTGTCGCCCTCGGCATAAATATCGCCTTAATGCCCTTGATACATAAATAACTATTATAAAACATGACAGTACTATGAAGTTAGGTTATAAAAAATTACAGCTTTTCAGATTTTATTTGTCAATTTTTTTAAGTTGGCAGCAAATTTGCCCAAAAATGGCGGATGATTGCGGTACTTTTTATATCTAGTGACTTTAGGTAGATTGTGCCAGGTTAGGTAGATTTTGTACAGAATGTGCAAGTATTCAACAGCGCAGCTATTAACCTTGTTGATTTTGCTTGCGGGCTGTGTAAATTCTCTTTAGGTTCTGTAAAATTTGTAAGGAGTTGTGTCTGTGGAACCTTTTAAGATCTGTGGTATGGTAGGATTTTCCTTAGATTGCGCGCACGTCATTGGTGTATTATGACGTCCAGTGGCGGATCTAGACATATTTTTCGGGGGGGGGGGGGGCCGGTGCTTTTGTGGATTTTCAAAATTAAAAAATAAACGCTAAGTTAATTTTTTTATTTATAGAGAGTTCATGCGCGAAAATTGTACGCCGCTTTAGGGTAAAAGGTTGTCCATGCCAAACCCCCAATCGGGGAAAATGATGTACAATTTTTATATGGACGGGGGGGGGGTCACCGGCCCCCTGTGACCCCCTCCTAGATCCGCGCCTGATGACGTCATTGCTAAGTATGTTTACATAGCATCATGCAATCAATGGAACAAAATACGTATGTAGGCAGCCATACAGACGGTGCTGCATGTTTCGGTAGGTATTCGTAACAAGTTGTCTATGTCGCGATCTTTGACAGGTGGACATTATTAATTGGACGTAAAGCGAAACATTAAAACAAATCATTTTAATTGTTTTTTTCGTGATAACGCTTGCAGTCCTTAGCGGCAGAAGTTCAGAAACGACTGCAATCTTGACTTGCTCACAAGCAGAGCCACCACGGCTTTCGTGTCGAAACGTCAGTGAAATGGGAAAGGAAATAAAGTAAAAACTCTTAATTTTGTGCGTAAGAAAAAACGAGAACATATAAAGTATATTACGCACACAACCAGCCAATCTCGGAGAAACCTTCTTCTGGACAAAAACCCTAGCATACATAATTTCTGTCACGCCCGAACCCAATGTAGCTGCCGAGCCCTAGTCTCCTACAATTGCCTTAAGAAACCAATCGGACTCCGCCGTCACATTAACGCCTACAGTTTATTCGCAACAATTTTTGTTATGGAACCTTTGGACCCGTTGGATCTTTTAAAACTTGCAAGGGGGATTGAAGCGTATGTTCTCATCGTTCTCTTTTCAGAGCATGCAGGCAATAAAGATGCAATTAAAAGATCATCTACTATCGGACGTCGAGACCCTACTGAAATCGGAATCGTCGATTCTGGTACAGCACTGGACGAGCAAGGAGTGTCAGGCGAACTTTATGAACTACGGCCCGAGCAAGTGATACAGGAGACGCGCGGCGTCCGTGGCGACGTCCAGCATTGTTGGTACAAATTACAAAATTTTAGACACTTGTTTCGTTAACATAGGAAAACCGGTTGCATTGTAAATTTGACGCGAAAACAAACATTGTGAATGCGAATTTCTAAATTTTTGATTTATCAATTTTTACCAAGGAAAAAAAGCAGAAGAAGGAAAAATGGGAAACATAATTTATCTTATTATGTTAGAGTGAATTTAAATTAACGTTTTTGGGACTATTTTGTGCATGGTGCTGAAATTTTGATTCATTTTTATTCTTTGACATTTTGATTAACTTTAGGTAGAGACGTTTATGCATTGTATATACAGAGTATCTTCTTTGTAGTTTTAATAAATCAATTGTACTAGAATTATGATCTATTGTTATGTTTAGTTTCTACTTGCAATTTGTTTCTTCATTTCATTCTTTGGAGAGATGTGCTAACATTAAGATATAAACATATTCTTCACCGGGGTAATTTTAGTGTTCATTCATTATTTTTTTAGCACACAGATCAGGTATAATAAAAATATATGAATTTAAAATTTGTATTTTGTATGTAAATAAACATGAAATTCTTTTGTTGTCTTTGCATGCCCTGGGTCCAGAATGTAGATGAATGGACCAAGGAGTTTCGTTAAATTGAATTTTGTGAATTTATAAGCATAAATTCAATGGCATTTGCAATGAATTGAACCATGAGGGAATAATTGGTAACGAGGAAACCAATCGCCTAACGTCTATGGGAATCTGCCCATGGACTAAGCCAAGCTAGGATCACAGCTTACTTAAAGCTGTGCTAGGATTATGTTCTGGTACTAAGGATAGCGATTGTCATGTTCTATATACAGGGTGAATACTCAAAACTTAACATGGGAAAACAGCTTTTCGCAGCTTATTGCTCCCCAAATTAACTTAGAAGGTTCATAATGGCACCACTGGAAAGAAGATTTTTTCTGATCTAACTATATGCGACTTAGTCAAGTTTTATATATAATTTTATCAAAAATTCGCAAAATAAAATGAAATCATGTAGCCATGACCCGTAGATTTAGTTAAGTTTGATTAAATTCCACGGAAAATAAATCTCGCACTCTACCGCCGTAAACGTTTTTTAAAATAAACACTTCCTCAATGGAATACATCGAAGGTTTTGTAGTAAGTACCAATTAAAATTATTGACAGTTATTATCACGTACCTTGTTTTCATTTCATGACTACTGTGATTATTTAAACCAAGTACACATGTTGACTACCTAATTTCGCAAAATAATAATTAAACGTGCAACTAGACGTTAATAATTTGCATATCATAAAACGCGGAAAAAATCTTCTTTCCAATGCTGGAATTATTAATTTGGGGAGCAACAAGCTGCGAAAAACCTCGTTAATTCCCTATGTTCGGTTTGAAAGTAATCACCCTGTATAGAAAAAACATGGCCGGTTTTCTTAACAAAGAGTATGGCGGGTTGCCTACAAGTCAGGTGAAATACTTATGACTTTTATACTACCACAGATCTACACTTAGATCTGTGGACTTCTCATTCAAAAGTTATAGACTAGAAACCGATTTCGAAAAAAAATTCAAAGGGCTGTAATTTTTGAACTAGTGGCCCAATCTTGGAACTGTTTGAAATTATGGATTCTACAGGCCACATTCTATAAGGAAAATTTTTTTCCGGATCGATCTGGGGCAATTTTTTTTCGGGGCTCAAAAAAAGGCAGTTATTACCTTCCTTTTTCACCAAAAAACGACTGCACCAAAATTTCTCGAGAAAACACTTTTTCTTATTAATTTTGGTGCGTAGAATCCAAAACAATTCGTACTTTTTCGATTAGACTTCTCAATCAAAAGTTATAGAAACCAATTTCGAAAAAAAATTCAAAGGGCTGTAACTTTTGAACTAGTAGCCCAATCTTGGAACTGTTTGAAATTATAGATTCTACAGGTCACATTCTATAAGAAAATTTTTTTTCCGAATCGATCTGAGACAATTTTTTCTTCGGGGCTCAAAAAAAGGCAGTTATTACCTTCCTTTTTTACCAAAAATCGACTGCACCAAAATTTCTCGGGAAAACACTTTTTTTTATTAATTTGAGTGCGTAGAATTCAAATCAATTTGTACTTTTTCGATCAGACTTCTCAATCAAAAGTTATAGACTATAAAAAAATTCAAAGGGCTATAACTTTTGAACTAGTTGCCCAATCTTGGAACTGTTTGAAATTATGGATTCTACAGGTCATATTCTATTTTTTTCCGGATCGATTTGAGACAATTTTTTTTTCGGGGCTCAAAAAAAGGCAGTTATTACCTTCCTTTTTTTAATAAAAATCGACTGCACCAAAATTTCTTGGGAAAACACTTTTTCTTATTAATTTTGGTGCGTAGAATCCAAAACAATTCGTACTTTTTCGATTAGACTTCTCAATCAAAGGTTATTATTATTTTATTTGAAATTAGCTTTTCCGCCAAAATTATATTAAAAAAGTATCGTTCTGACATCTAACGTTGGGGTAATAAACTAGTTTAGTTAATTACATGAACGGAAGAGGGCAGAACGATACTATTTTGGTGTAATTTTGCCAGAATTTTTAATTTTAAATAAAGGTACATTTAAAAAATGGATAATGAACATAACGTGGACGAAAATCACGAGAATTCTCAAAAAAAGGGTCGACATCGTAAAAAGCAACTGTACAAATCGATCTTGCAACAAATGGAGTTTTATTTTAGCGATTCTAACCTCGCAAAGGAACGCTTTTTGAGTCAGCTGATCCAAAACGATCCATGTAAGTCACCCTTGTCTCATTCGTGGGGTACAAGTACGTTTTTGTATTTCAGACGTCGACGTCTCCATATTCCTGCAATTTAATAAGATACGCAAACTTACCTCGAGCCTGGAAGACGTCACGAAAGCCATCAGCAAATCGGAACTAATCGAACTGTCGGAGGATAAGACAAAGGTACGTAGAAGGCTACCGATTAAAGTTAAGGAAAACGTCGACGAGTGCACCATTTACGTGGAACGATTAAAGTCGGACGCGACGCACGAGTGGCTGACGGCGATTTTTTCCGAGTTTGGCAAAGTCACTTACGTGTCGATTCCGAAGTACTACCACAGCAATATTATCAAGGGTTTCGCTTTCGTCGAGTTCGAGACCGAGGAGTCGACAAATGCGGCGTTGGCGTTCTTCGAGTCGATCGATTGTAAAATACCGTCTGCGATGGAACCGGAGAAGTTGTGCAGCATCGCGACGTTCGACGAGAAGCAGCAACAGGCGAAAGACGAGTCGGTTAAAAAACGAAAGTCGTCCGACGACGCGCCGCAAATCGAGTTGAAGAAGAAGAAGAGCGGTCGCGATGACCCGGCCAAAGCGGAAGCGGAGCTCGTCGCGCCTGTCGAACAAGACGTGTCGGAGAGCGAAGGCGAGGAGAAGAAGAAGAAGAAGCAGAAGAAAGCGCAGAAGAGACTAACGAATTTAAAGGAGATGGGCCTACAAGTTCTGTCCAAGTGAGCATTAATCGTCGGATTATTAGCCCCCTCCCCGCTAACGTGCATTTGCAGGAAGGAGTGGAAGAAGATGCGCAATCGTTACCTGGAAATGCAACGGAAGACGATGTCCGACCTGAAACGGCACCTCCACAAGCAGCGCGTCGCCGATTTTCACGCGCAAAAGCCGAAACCGAGGGAGCAGCCGCGAAGGGACGAACCGCCGAAGACCGTGCAGGCGTTCACGTCGGGCGTCATCGTCAAGGTGGCGCTATCCGAGCCGTGCGTCGAAAGCAAAAAACTGAAGGTGAGTAAACGCACGCGAAGGTGTTGAAAATTGATGATCCCTCGCAGGAGGAGCTCAAGACGAACCATTCCAACGTTCGGTACATCGACATTCCGCACGCGTACGGAAGTCTGGAGCTGTACCTTCGGTTCGACGACAGTAAGAACGCGCGGGAGTTCTGCACGTCCGGCTTTAAAGACAGCAAGTGCGACGTGCTGGAGGGGGAGGAGGAGCAGAATTATTGGCAGAAAATCGAAGAGTCGAGGAGTGCCAAGCTGAAGAACGACAATCGTAAGCAAAGAGGAAGGGATAAGTTGCTTAAAAAGGCGGAGAAACAGAGCGCCAAGCATATTCGATTTGAGAATAGCGATTAATTGTAAATTTGAGAGTATTGAACTGCCTTTGTAATTTAAGTTTAATAATTAATTATAATTATTAATTTTTAGGGAGGTCCTTACAGACCTATCACTGTCGTTTTGTTAGCAAACGTCGTTTTTTATTGTTTTCCGTTTGTCAATTGGGGTTGTGTTAAGCATTGTTGGAATATGCTTAAAGGCAAAAAAGTGGAAAAAAATTTGATTCGGCTCAAAAAAACACCAACATATTGCTAATCTCTTTTTTAGACAATGTTATGGGTATAGGTTGGTAAAAATGCATATATAGCATAAATACCGCCAAAAATGTCCTATTTTACGTTTATGTCTTCAGTTCTGGGGTGTTACCTATAGGTATATTCGAGACAATTGGTTTTTTTGTACTTTCATTTTGTTTATCTTTGTTAGAGAAAGCTCTCTTTTTATAAAATTGTTCCACATATTTACTATGGCGCATGCGCAGTATGACATGTGTAACCACAGTTTATTTTATGCCAATCTTTTTCACCGTACGCTCTGTTCACACCTAAAACGAATAATCGAACGCACCTCGATTATGTGTATTCCATTGGATGCTTCCAATTCTTCAAACATAACCCCACAAATCACGATTTGTGCATAATCCTTCGCTTCGAGTTCTTTAGGTTTTTCAGTTTCTTCAGACACATTGGCCGTTTGTCACAAGTAAATTGCATTAAATAAACATTGTTACACAAAGAAAAAAATGGACACCATGCAAAATTATAAGATGCAGCCCAAAATGTACAAATTTTAATTAAGGGTAAACAATAATTATATGAATTCGAAACCACTGTTAATTTCTTTGATTATAGCTGAAGGGTGTCCAACCTGAAGACCAATGCATCAACCCCGAGCGGAGAACAATTGCATGTAAGTGAATCACAATTTTTAAATCAAGTGTCATTGTAAAAGGCGCTTGTCATTTGTTCCGTAACCCCAACTGTCACATTTGAGATCTTTATGCCTCAAAATGTGGCGTTTAAATAGCGATTTATTATTTGCCACATAATCGCAGCGGTCACATTTAAAATCCTTCGAAACTTTATGCGTTAAAACTTGCTGTCTTAAAAGTTTTTTGTTATTCGTCGCTTTCAAATCTGTGGGCACCTTGTACCTTACGATATGTGACTTGAACAGCGACTTATTATTCGTCGAATAATCGCAGTGGTCACATTTCAAATGTTCAGAAATGATGTGGGTTACGAGATGCTGCTTAAAATAGTATTTATTATTCGTTGCGTAATCACAAGTGACACATTTAAAATCTTTGGGAATTTTGTGTTAAGCCATGCAAATTGAATAGGTATTTATTATTAGTTGCGTAATCACAACTGGCACATTTCAAATCTTTTGACAATTTGCGTGTTAAAAGGTGTCGCTCTAAAAGTTGTTTCGTATAAGTTACATAAATGCAATGGTCACATTGTGCTTTAGAAGATGCAGTTTTAAATGATTTTTATTATGAGTTGTATAATCACAAGAGTCACATTTCAAATCTTTCGAAACTTTGTACTTTAAAAGATGCTGTCGTAGCTAAATTGTTGAATAATTACAAGTGTCACATTGAAAATCCTTTAGGCCTTTCGAACTAGTATTCCAGCTCAGTAGTTCCACTGTCCTGAGCGCAATTTATGTCTTTACCCTTGATTGTCGTCGAAACTTCGTTGCCAATGAAAATATGTGTTTCAAGGGACCAAGTGATTTTCTCTTCTTGTTTGGGTTCAACTTAAACAAGTATTTCGACAGACATTACTGTAAATAATCAAGAAAACCCATATATATCTTATATATATGAGAAAACCTCAATTTTTTTGTTTTTTAGGTTAATTAGGTACAATGTTGCCGAGTCGTATGTTAATAGGTGCGTTTTGCTCTAAAGGTGCGTTCATAGCTTTCCCTTACGTTTCCATTTGTCCGTTAACCAATCGGAAGATAGTAACTTTTTAAATCGTACGACGTACGACGGAAAAGTTGGTTGAAGTTGTACATTTTAGTTGCCGTTGGTTCGTTTTTAACAAGAATAAGGGTTCGTTACGTTGTTGACTTTTAACAGCAAATTTAACAGTGTTCGCATAATCGAACGCACCTAATAGAATCGAAAACAATGTAAGATATTGCAATAATTCATTTACGGAAAAACTGTCTCGAAAAGTGCCCATTTCATTTTATATGTTGATTGTTATTGTTGATAGAGTCACGTTTAGACCTAACTGCGAGTGTTTGTAAATGTGACTAGCGGCAACAGTGGAAACTTTCTAACCTAAAAATTTAATGGACCGATTTTTGTTTGTAAATGCCTTTTTGTGAACTTCGAGACGATCAATTTTAAATAAACGAACTTGTTCCCATTCCAAATTAGTTTAACAACATCCCTAGTTTATTAGGGGCGAAGATAATTTAAGGTTAAAAAGGTGCGGACACGTGCGTTTCTGTTTACAAAATGTAAGTACGGCGTGGTCGCAAACACAGGCCGCAGTTTTATAATTTTAGATGTCGTTTCGCGGTAATCGCGGCGGAGGAGGCGGCCGAGGCTTCGGCGGTCGCGGACGCGGCGGTCGAGGCGGCGGACGTAACAGTTTCGGCGGCGGCGGCGGCAGAAATTTCGACCAGGGACCGCCGGAGCGCGTTATACCACTCGGCTACTACGACTATCCGTGTCAGGACGAGCTGATCTGCAAGGTGGAAATAGAGGACGTGCCGTTTTTCAACGCGCCGATTTACCTCGAGAATAAGGAGCAGATCGGGAAAATCGATGAGATATTCGGCAATCCGAGGGACTACTCGGTTACAGTGAGACTGAGCGAGAATATGAAGGCGTCGAGCTTTAAGAAGAACCAAAAATTGTACATCGATCCCGCGAAGTTGTTGCCGTTGCAGCGGTTTCTGCCGAAACCGCCGGGAACGGTGCAGAAGCGCGGGGGTAGAGGCGGCGGGCGAGGTCGTGGCGGAGGTGATAGGGGAAGAGGCGGGGGGCGAGGTGGATTTGGGGGAAGGGGGGGTGGAGGATTCGGTGGCAGGGGTGGAGGGCGTGGTTTTGGTGGGGGTGGAGGGCGAGGCTTCGGAGGAGGCGGTGGTGGACGTGGTTTCGGAGGTGGAGGCAGAGGAGGTGGACGTGGATTTGGCGGAGGTGGAGGTGGTTTCAGGCAAAGTGGCGGTTACTAAGAATATTTTATCAATTATACATTTAGTTCCCTATTTTTATTATTTGTACGTACGAGTTGTGCTATTAATGTAATAGTGATTTTGTATGTGTAGTACATGTTACGTTGTACAGAATTTTTATAAATAATTTTAAGTACTAATTTTTTTAAGTTTTGTGTCACCGGAACAGTCGGAATCGGCCGCAACTAAGGGGTCCGGCCTTGCCTCTGGTCAAGGTCAGTGGGACGATCTCTGAAGCCTCAGTCTTACGTTATAATTAAATGGGACGCTCGATTTAATGTAGAAAGAAAAAATTAAATGGTATGAATGCAAAATAAATTTATGGAAAGAATAAAAAAATAATACGGAATACTTACAAATGAAGCAAAAGGTCTTCCTGACTTAATTCTTGAGCAAGAATAGAAAAATCTGACATGAAAACTTTATCTGGGTCGCACTTTGGGTTCAATTAAACAGACAGTTTAGACGACAAAGACAAATTTATTTCACGAAACATTAAAAACAAAATTATACAAGAACGTGGGGCTTTTAGAGCCCGCTTTTTTACAAATACCCCGCACGCAGACGTTCGACAGACAAATACAAACACTTCTTGGTAACCCTGATCTTCAGAATCTACTTATACAGAGTGTGGTCTTTTCGCTCTTCAAATTTAAGTCCGTCGACGCGTTTCTTTCATGCGCCGCTGGCGTTTCAGTTCGGTATGCCTTCCCAAAGGAAGAAGAAAAGCGGAAAAATCATTTAACTATGGAATTTCCAGAGAGAACGGCATGACGCCAACGTACCATTTGACGTACTTCCAATCGAAAGCATTGGCCGAGCCCATCCGTTTCCTCTTCAGTTATGGCAACATTGAATTTGAAGACATCCGCATCGAGAAATCGAACTGGCCGGAAATCAAACCGAGCCTGCCGTTTGGACAAGCTCCCGTTTTGGAATTCAACGGAATTCGAGCCTACCAGAGCATCGCGATTACACGATACGTCGCGAAGCAAGTCAAACTCGCGGGAGCTAACGACGTCGAAGATCTCGAAATCGACGCCGTTGTCGACACGGTTAATGACCTACGCATTAGTGAGTAGCCGTACGTGTACCACAGAAACTTGGCCCCTTTTTTTTTTTGTAGAAATCTCGGAGTTTTGCTACGAGATGGACTCGGTCGCCAAAGAAAGACGTAGACAGTCGCTTTTCGACGAAGTTCTCCCTTACTACCTGGAACGTTTCGAGACTATCGTCGAGAATAACAACGGGCATCTCGCAACGGGAAAGGTACGAACTAAAGTCACTAAATATAGAAAGTACCGCAATTCATTGGGCTCGTGTGTTAGAGAGAGAACGCATGATTTTTGCCCAAAAATGGCGGAAGTTACCAGATTCTATTAACTTTAATGTTAGGGATTGTTCCTTTTTAAGTTGGCAGCAAATTTGCCCAAAATGGCGGATGATTGCGGTACTTTCCATATCTAGTGACTTTAGTACGAACCATAGGATTGGCGCAATTGTTTGCCGATCTCATTCCTTTCAGTTAACCTGGGCCGACATACACTTCGTTGGGATTCTCGATTACCTAAGCTTCATGACGGGGAAGACCATCATAGCGGGTTATCCCGGCCTTCAAAACTTGGAGAAGACGATCCTGAATCTTCCAGGTATCAAGGAATGGGTTGCCAAACGTCCTGTTACTCGCGCGTAAGGTTTTTGATACATTAAATCACTAACGTTTGGGCGTTTTATTACTTTTTGGATCTTTGACCGATCACGTATTATAACCTGGAGAGCAGGAACAATGAAAATTGCTCTACTATAATTATATCAAAGGTAACAGTAGATTGAGGCGGTAGCTCGCTTGGGAGTTTTTCGAATTGCATCCCCAAAAGCGATCCAGTTTTCAATTTTAGTTCTTGGAGGCAGCCTTTTTTTGTAACAGATAAAGACACAGGCAAAAAAAAACAAGAAGGGAGAAGGGTAGTGAATAGGCGCGGTACAAAAATATTGCGATAGCAATGTCTAACGTTTGACACTAATCAAGTATCTCAAATACTAAAACCATGATTAACACTCAATGAGAATCAATTATTCAATTTACGTTAATTAAACAAAAGTAAAATTTTGACTCGCCAACGAATAGTCCGTTCAAAAGGGATATAAACGTGACGTTAACTGAATGAATCTTTGGAGTGTCAAAAAAATAACGTCGACATCTGAAGATATTCTTGCCAAAAATCCCCATAGTTATGGGTGCAATGTCGGTAAATGTAAATAGTAATTTATTGCAACAGTTTTATACACCAAGAACCAAGAAAGAAACAAATGTTGAACTATTAACAAACTATTGCCCTGGGACTTTAAAAGTCAGTGGCGGGGCGCTCCTCGATCCACTTCTTAATGGAAGCTATAGCGAGCACGTTATTTTCCACGATCTTTAAATTGGGACAATCTTCCGTCAGGCTTTTACCCAGCATATAGCCCATATAATCCAAAAGACCCACGAAGTATATGTCCACCCAAGTCAGCTTTCCAAGTGCAAGGTGCCCGCCGTTCTTGCCCGCGATCTTGTCGAGACGGTTCAAGTAGAATGGAACCGTTTCCTTATCCAGCGTCGCCTTGCGGCTTTCCTTTATTTCGGAATTCGTCTCGTAGTGGTATTGGGCGATTTCTTTCGGAAAAACGAGTTGAATTAGCTCGACGTTTAGAATACTCACTGATTCGAAGATCGTTAATAGTATCGGCCAGTGCGTCAATTTCCAGATCTTCTAAGTCATTCGCGCCGGTCAGATTGGCGTGTTTGCCCAAGAAGCGGCAAATCGCCAAGCTTTGGTTCATCTGCAGCCCGTTGACCTCCAAGACGGGGACTTGGCCGAACGGCATACCTACAATTCGCATTTAAACTCGGCGAGTTGCGGATGACGTTTACTTTCTTTGTGACCGTCCCATTCGCTTCGCGGAATGCGAATGTCGTCGAATTGAATCTCGCAGTAATGGAGAAGGAAACGGATTGGTTCCGCCAGAGCCTTGAAGGGGAAGTAGGTGAGCTTCCACTTGTGATGCAAGTCGCCGGTTTCGTCTGCAATTTGAAGGGTTGGCGCGGATGCGTACACCGGGTCGGTTTTTACCGGAATTGGCGAGGATGTTGATGGATTTGTGACTTCTTTTTAAGTCGCAAGCTTCGCAACTGCCACAATTATCGCACATATTTTTCGAAGTTTGTAAAACGTCTACAATTTGTGTTTTTTTTTGTTTTACAAAGGTATAACGATCCATGGTACAGATAAGACAAGTTATGCCTATAACCACAGATTGCTAACCTTATGTATTTTTTGGAAAACCAATTTAGGTATACTTAAAGGCGCCCTCTATTGTGGAGCAGTATAAACATGTATCGTTTAAAACTGTAATATGACGCTTATGGATTTATGCGTTAGATGTCGCTGAAACAAAATTAAAGCGCTAAAGTTTGCACAATTCGAATTAGAGAAATTTTGGTGCAGTCGATTTTTTGTAAAAAAAAAAGAAGGTTGTACACTGCCTTTTTTTGAGCCCCGAAAAAAAATTGTCTCAGATCGATCCGGAAAAAAATTTTTCTTATAGAATGTGGCCTGTAGAATCCATAATTTCAAACAGTTCCAAGATTGGGCTACTAGTTCAACAGTTACAGCCCTTTGAATTTTTTTTTCGAAATTGGTTTCTAGTCTATAACTTTTGATTGAGAAGTCTAATCGAAAAAGTACGAATTGTTTTGGATTCTACGCATCAAAATTAATAAGAAAAAGTGTTTCCCCAGAAATTTTGGTGCAGTCGATTTTTGGTAAAAAAGGAAGGTTACACTGCCTTTTTTTGAGCCCCGAAAAAAAAAATTGTCTCAGATCGATCCGGGAAAAAAATTTTCTTATAGAATGTGGCCTGTAGAATCCATAATTTCAAACAGTTCCAAGATTGGGCTACTAGTTCAAGAGTTACAGCCCTTTGAATTTTTTTTTCGAAATTGGTTTCTAGTCTATAACTTTTGATTGAGAAGTCTAATCGAAAAAGTACGAATTGTTTTGGATTTTACGCACCAAAATTAATAAGAAAAAGTGTTTTCCCGAGAAATTTGGGTGCAGTCGATTTTTGGTAAAAAAGGAAGGTAATAACTGCCTTTTTTTGAGCCCCGAAAAAAAAAATTGTCTCAGATCGATCCGGAAAAAAAATTTTCTTATAGAATGTGGCCTGTAGAATCCATACATCCAAACATTACACCAAAAACGTAAACAATTACAAAACGTAGTCTCCCTTTACTGCACGCTTTCTTCTAATCAACATCAAATCGGCGTCTGTGAACGTCTTACGCAAAATACACAGTCGACTCTACCCCATATTACGAAATTTATTCAATTTGATTATTTAGAATTAATCGTTACATTGTTTACTAGGAGAGGTTTAATTATCTGGCCAGCAGAAATTCTTTTAATTCAGTTTAGTAATTAGGTTTTTGTATTTTCCAAGTGCCTGTAGGAATTGGTTTGATTTTTATGTTTACTCATAATAAATGTACCTATTCTGTTTGAGATAATCTTTTGTAATTTTAATAACATTTATCATTATTTTACAAAGGCCGTTAATAAACGTAAATCGTCCAATAATGACACGTTTTTAAGTTTCAAGTTTTTTTTAAATCTTCAACTTCAACTGTTTTAGAGAGAGAGGAAAAACTTTATTATAATTACTAATCGACTTTGGATTTCTGACGAAACATTCGTATAATAATAATAATAATTTTAATAAATAAAATAAAACTAAAAATTAAAACTAAAACGACTGCAATAAAGAATCCCAAAATATCCAACAGCAGGTACTGATACAGAGGCAAATCAATTGCGGGGCTCCTCAAACTCTTCGCGCCCTTATGCCTTAACACGTACTCCGTCCACCACACCGCACGCTCCAATCCCGTCATGGGCTGATCCAAGGCGACACTCACCAATTCGATTACCCGACTTCGATATCTAAAAACCGTTTCTGTACCCGAGCATATGACAAAGATGGTGTCACCTCGGATTCGTAATAACCTCCAAAATGGCCTTGATGAACTCCTCCTTTTCCAAGTCGGCGTGGTTTAGGGATAACCCGAATCCCTTTCCCACCATTAAGTCGACGTTGCTGTACTGGTCGGCGTAAAACGGCAGACCCAGCATCGGAACGTGGTTGTAAACGGCCTCCTCCATCGACTGAAGGCCCCCTTGTGTTACGAAAAGCTTGATATTGGGATGCCCTGCAATGGAAAACGATCAGGCGCATGGCATTAACGTATGGAACTTACGGAGGATGTCCTGTTGAGGAAACCACTTAGAAATGTAGACGTTCGGAGGCCGACCGGGCAGATCTTCGTTCTCAAACTTCCACAACACCCTGTAGGGAAGCTCGGCGAATGCCGCCAGAAGTGTGTTACGCAGTTGTAGGTCGATATCCGCGCTTTTCACGTTCGAGCCCAAACTGAAGTAGACGAAGCCTTCGGTGGCATTGTCCAGGTAACTCTGCAGCGCCTACAAAACAAGCAGTGGAGAGCGAAACCTCCGAGGAGGAACGTCTTACGCTGGGAAGCGGTCTTGGCGCTTTCAGATGTGTTCCGCCTCCTATCCGCACGACTGCCGGCAAAATCGGACGAATATTATGAAATATCGGATCAACATTAACAAAGAGCATACTAACTTTAATCGCAATGTCGCCCAACGGCGGGTAGCCGTCGCCGAAGTGCTTTCTCACTTGCGACTCTAGCTTCGGGTAGGAATACATGCGAACGTATAGTCGAGTGTACGTCTGGAATAGGAGGCTCAAAACCCGCTGCCGGAAGTTCAACGAACCGCCGAAAGGAAGGCTAAAATCGGGATTGAGGACCGGATGCGAGGGGTTGCCCACGGCGTCGTATATGTTCGAGTGGGCATCCAGAGATGTCATGCCGATAAAAGGACAAGCGAAACGTTCCGAGAACGTGGTTAAACTCGGATATGGGTACTCGAGCATTAGCAGGTCGAAGTGTTCCGTTTTGTTGGTGATTAACGCCTTCACTTCAGGATGGGCGAGCTGGTGGTCGACGATATCGTCCACCATCTCGACGTATCGATCGATAAACTTCAAAAGGCTGTCTGGTGCCGTTCTAATCATGTGAGTGAAGTTGTGCTTCACGTTCCAAAGATCGTAGGCAAATCCCAAATCTATCTCCTTCAAGTTGGGTAAAGAGGAGTTGTTCATCGGATCAGTCGTAAGAACTGTCAGATCGTGACCTCGCAGGGCGAGTTCGGTCCAAATCGGTTGAAATACGACTTGATGGCTGTAGGACGGTGTCGGTACGATGCCTAGAATACGTGCACCATTATGCTGCTTTATTTGCACACACAGTAATAGTAGGAAACGTGCAAAACTGTTGTAACCCATTGCGAAACTGCGGATGACAGACACTTTATGTCCACAAGAAGCTAATTACAAGGTAAAGTGAACAATAAACAATAATACTGCAATTAATTCTGTATACATAATTAAAAAATTACTTCTGGGTTAAATAATATTAAAAGTTAGGTTATGTTGATTTTACATGCAAGAGTTGCATTCAGTTAGTCCAGGTCCACTCGCATCTCGAATCCAACGTGACTTCTAGTCCCTGCTACGGGTAACCCTCTTGTTTGAGACGAGTCTCTTAAGGCCCGTTTCATTTAGAAATAGGGAAAAACAGTACACAAAAATCCCTCTATTCTTATAAATTATTAAAATAAAAGCCTATACAAATTATATTTTTCGTTACCCTGTACATAAAAAGTAGTTCAAAATTATCCACAATAGTTCAAAAAGTCTATGAACATAACCTATAAAATTGTATTGAATGTCAATGATCAACAAATTAATCCCAAAAAAAGGGAGTAATTTAGGTTTAGCACTGCTGGGGGGCAATCCAGAGCACAGAAGCTTTCTCTGGGAACGGTTCAAACTTAACCAGTTTAACTGATTTCTGTCAGTGTGCCTTTAGCATACAGGCTAGTTTCGTTAATCTCGCGAATTCTGTGCCATGCGTAGTGAAACTTCTCGTGGTAATATTTTACTACCCCACGATTAACGATGAAGTTAAAAGTTTCATAATTCACAGTGACGCCGCCCACTGACCAATTTACCGAGCCAATGTAAAGGTAACCGTCTTCGTCTGTATAATCCTTGACCATGTACTTGTGGTGGAAAATGGTGGATATGTCAGGATCGGGTGCAACGTAGTATAAAACTTCGATCCCTGAAAGAGTACCAAGTATTTTCAGTGTTTAAACAGAAATTTTACCGGAACGTTCTAAATGTCGAAGGTCCTTGTTGTTGTTATAGTTATAGTCGACGATTATTCGAACTTTCACGTTTCGCCTAGATGCGGCCAGCAGTTCATCGAGTATCGATTTGATCTGAATGAACATTATGGCAATATCCAGTGATCTTTCCGCGGTGCGGATGAAGTATAAGATCGGTTCGAACTGCGTGTTTATGTTAAACCCCTTACTCTTCTCCGCCCTGTCTTCAGTTGGCCACCCGCTCAATACACCGGCCGAATACACCCCCATGCAGATATGCCGTTGAAGGTAGAGTGAATGTTTCTTTAGTTCCTCACGAATTTTCTTCCATTCTTTGTAGACTTTGGTCCAGCTGTACAGGGGTAAGCTGAAGATTGCACAGTAAATAGCGCACTTTAGGATCATATTGGGAAGTTTCGCAAGGAATAATTGGTAAATGCAAAATACAATAAATTATGTTTTAAACACAAACCGTGGCTCACGTACCATACACGGTGTCACGGTCGGCATCTGCGCGTAGTAAACACACAGTTTTCTAACCTACAATAACAAAAACTGGGAAGCTTTGTTTTGTTGTTAAAAACACAATTAATTTAAAATTAAGTTCGACAAACTATGGGATCTCGTGCAATTTAATTTTAGATATTCAATTCACATCCTTCCATAAAGGCATCTTCCGATTAAAAAGATGGTCGATTGCGAAGACGATCAAGATATGAAGGATGAGGCAGAAGAGACGGATAGCGTGAATCTTACCGGATTTTTATTCGGAAACATTGACGAAACGGGCCAGCTTGAAAGCGATGTGTTCGATTCGATTGAGCAGAAGCAGTTGGCCTCGCTAGGACGGTAGGACACTATTTTAGACACTCTTGTTCTACAGTGTACTGTTGCAGGCTCGGCTTAAGTAGCTTTTTAAAGGAGATGATAAACGAGGATGACATTGAGGAAGAAAACACCGATACCAAGCCGCAGGATGTGCAAAGTACGTATTAGTCGAGTCAGTTGACTAGGACTTTTAACGTGAAATTTCTGTCGTAGCTATGGACAAATTGCCGTCTGCCGTCGATTTTTTTGACATAAACGAGCTGGCGGAAGACGAAGTTCCAATCGTTCGTGTAAGCGGTGCGTTTTCGCCCTTTAATCTTTTAACATTTCAGAAACTGGAACTCGACGAGGATTACGATACTGCGCCGAAACCGTTCACTGATTCGAGGCTGATGCCGCCGCCTCCTCCGCAAGCGGCGGGCGACACGGAACCGAAACGTAAACTCGACACACCGCTGGCCGCAATGCTGCCCTCCAAGTACCAAAACATCGACGTCACCGAGCTGTTTCCCGACTTTCGGCACGGCAAGGTCTTGAGATTCTCGCGACTCTTCGGTCCGGGGAAACCGTCCAGTTTGCCGCAGATTTGGCGTAACGTCAAGAAGAAACGTCGCAAGCATAAGCGCTCGGGTAATCAGCACGATTCCGACTCGCAGTCGGACGAGGAGAAGCCGAAGTTTACCGGTTGGCATTTTAATTACGCCGATACGCCGCCGCCCGACCGGTGGCAGAGCGACGACGAGGTTCGATTTTTCGTTTGTCCTCGCGGTGTCGATCTCTGACGCTGAGTTTTAGGAGAAATTCTTAAAACCGATCGAGGCGGGCAGCAAGGATTCCAAAAAGGAGATGGCGGCGAAAGACGATACGGGACCGAAGGTCGCCGACTGGCGTTTCGGGCCCGCGCAGGTCTGGTACGACATGCTCGACGTTCCCGAAACTGGCGATAATTTCGACTACGGATTTAAGTTGAAAGAGAAGGTAGGGTGCGGACATAACCTCGCCTTTTTCATTTGTTATTGTGCATGCAATGGTGTTATTTTCTATTGGTAGTTGAGAGAACACCCGATTGGTAGAAATCAGCATGGAAACAATTGTGGTAAAATCAACCAATCCGGTTAAACCAATAAATATATACAGTATGTCTCTAAATAAAAAAAGGTTAACTCAGTTTTTTTTAGAAAAGTTGGAAAAAATCGGTGTTCTTTGATCGCTTGTAAAAATTTTTCTATTGGACTGATTTTGTTTGTTCATCTTTTGATCACCGCAGAATTTTGTTTTCTTTAATTCACTAAATAAGTGTTATTCATTAAATATGGACCGTTTTCGAGGTTTAAGCGAAAAACTGAAAAAAGCCCAAACATTTTGAGGTTTTTTGGCTGCCAAAAGTTGTGCCGGGAAAAAAATGGTGTGCAGTTTCCGAATGCATGTTATTTGGAGCCAAATGGGCCATTTAAAACCATAAAATCCTTTACGCCACCTTTTACAGGTCAAAATTATCTGCATACTGACTATGACAAAATTAGAATAATTAGAAGAATAGTTGCGCATAGGTTTATTAAAGCATTCAACAAATTAGTATTTTCGGAATGCTCTATAAACTTTTAGTACATTTTTTTTTATTAAAAAAAGTATTATGTTTGCGTTTTGTACGATTTTCTGCCCGGATTCACTTCCGCGGTATTGAACTCATTTTAGGTACTAATTGTGCTGGATTTTTTGCACAGTCTTCCATAAATAAGAAAGTTGGCACTGCGCATGCGCAAAACGAAATTTTGAAACTGGCGTTAAATTTGGTTTTATTCCAAGTGGCTATGTATCAAATTTTATTTAAATGCCCAATGGTTATATTTCTTCCAAACATCCTAATCGCCCTTTGTAGCTACTTTCCTTTGACAATTCACTCTTAAGATATAAGGAATTATAACCGATCACGACAAGGGATCGAGGAGGAAGACTATGGTTAGTATAAATTAATTCCTTTCATTGAGACCTTTCATTAGAGTACCATAAAGGATAAAACTAGTTCCAACCCCCTCCCCCCCGTAGTTTGATAAGAGGACAGAAAGAAGGGCAGTAGTTTGTAGAAAAGTGTTCCTTTAGAATACAAGGAGAGATCAAATTAACTTTTAACCCCCCCCCCCATTTTCTAAAGTTTAACTTGGCACCATTAAAGACATGCGTATGCAAAATCTGAGACCAATTGGTTGCCGTTTTACTTTCAAAAACAGCATCCCGGGAAATAATTCGTGGGGGGCCCCCCTTTTAGACAGCGAAATTTGATGGCCGTCTGGTACACCTTCAAAATATAGGTTATCTACTGCAAAAAATTCCAGGACTCTGTTAAATAAAAGCAGGATGGTCGGAATGGCGATGGTCTGTTTTTGATGCGTTCCGGCGGTCTTAATAAGCAAGGACTTTGATCTGTTGATATTTCGACTTCATCTCCAGAATAGGTACATTTTTTTCAACCAGCATTGTCCCTCTAAAAGTATTGTGAGATTTCCACGAGGGGAAAATCACTGTAAGATTAACGCAGCGATAACGAACTCTTATCGCGCTGACCGGAGATAAACTTACGAAACAAAACACGCAATTAAGTCCAATTAGCTCAACTGTAGTTCAACTAATATGATCGAATATCTTTAAAAATTGTAATTTCCATCATACAGGGTGACCCATCATTATTATAGGTGGCGAAGGCAGATTTCCCGTTTTTATATCCTCGACCAAGACGAGTAGTGCCCTTTAGGACTCGCCGTATACACTTCGAGAAGGGTTCAGCCATCCACTGGTGGTGACATGGGAATTAAGTCAAGATCAAATGTAGCTCTGACCTCTCTCTTTAATAAGGGGTTGTGGAATCCCCGCTCCTAAAAAAAAAGGTCAAGGGTGAGCGACCTTTGATCGGTAGCTTGATCTACTTTCCAGGGCCTGAGCAATCTTTGCCCTTGACCTACCAAGGTCACTGGCAGAGAAGAGCGAAGGGCGAGTGCTCTTGATCTTCACCTTGACCTGCTTTCCAAGATCACGTGACAGATGATCTTTGAAGTTCACTTCACCTTAAGCTACTTTCCAAGGTCACCGCCAGATGGCGAGCGACCTTGAACTGGTCCTGTTTGTATACCTCGTACGAATTCATCTACTTTGGGGGGGGGGGGGTACCAAAAGGACTTTTGAGGACTAAAATCATTAAAGACCGTTTGAATTTATTGATCCAAAAACTAATAAAAAACTCACGGTCTCTGAACGGTTTCAGACTTAATACTTGTTTTAGATTATCGAGCCGGAAGAGCCGCTAGAGGGCGAACCGTTTCCCGACGACGCCTTTTTAATGGTATCGCAATTGCATTGGGAAGACGACGTCGTATGGGACGGCAATGATATAAAGCACAAGGTTTGTGCGAAATTTTTTTGTGTACTCGCAGAATGTCGCTTTTGTTGTTAAATAGCTTCCTAGGTTAATTGTAGTAATGACCCGTAGGTATTACAGAAATTAAATTCTAAAACAAACGCAGCAGGCTGGGTGCCGAGCAGCGGTAACAGAACTGCGCAGGCGTTCAGTCAGCCCGGCAAGGGCGGTACAATGCACGGAAGCAACATACGCCTACCGATACCGGCGCCTCCGCTACCCGGCGCCAAGAACGCCAAGGGCCAACTGTAAGTCTCTCCGCCCCTCGGCCTCGTTCATTTCCCACGCTCGGCTTTCAGCATGCTGCCCAATCAAAAGCAGCGAGAGCAGGAGAACGACGACACGTGGTACTCGATTTTTCCGGTGGAGAACGAAGATTTGGTTTACGGAAGGTGGGAGGACGACGTCATCTGGGACGCCGAAAACATGATTCAGATTCCGAAGCCGTCGATTCTCACGCTCGACCCCAACGACGAGAACATCATTTTGGGAATACCCGACGATATCGATCCGTCGAAGCAGATCGCGGGACAGGCGACCCCCGTCAAGGTTAAGATACCGCACCCGCACGTGAAAAAATCGAAGATCTTGCTGGGCAAGGCGGGGGTAATCAACGTATTGCAAGAGGACACGCCTCCGCCTCCGCCGAAGTCGCCCGATCGCGACCCGTTCAACATCTCGAACGATATGTGAGTTGAATCCGCCAACGAGTGACTTAATCTCACCCGTCATTTCGTAGCTATTACATGCCTCGCTCCTCGGAGACGTATCTGAGGTTGAAGGTGGGCGGGGGCAATTTGATTCAGCATTCGACGCCTGTGGTCGAATTGCGCACGCCCTTCGTGCAGACGCACATGGGCCCGATGCGTTTGCGCAACTTCCATCGTCCTCCGCTGAAACGGTTCTCCCACGGCCCGCTATCGACGCCAGGGCCTCACTCCGTCTTACCCCTAATCAAGCACATTAAGAAAAAGGCGCGGGTATGCACCTTATCCCATTGGTTCACTATTTCTATCTCTCTTTCTAGCAAAGAGAAGCGGAGAGGATGGCGTCAGGAGGGGGCGACGTGTTCTTCATGCGCACTCCCGAGGATTTGACTGGCAGAGACGGCGATCTTGTACTAATCGAGTTCTGCGAGGAACATCCTCCGCTCATGAATCAGGTATCGCACCCACTCTTGCGTTAACAGTCTAACTGTCCAATTTCAAGGTGGGGATGTGCTCGAAACTGAAAAACTATTACAAACGAAAGGCGGGCAAGGATCAGGGACCTCCCATGTACAGGTACGGCGAGGTCGCGTACGCGCATACCTCGCCGTTTTTGGGCATTCTGCATCCCGGCCAGTCGATACAGGCCGTCGAGAACAACATGTACCGTGCCCCGATCTACGAGCACAAAATCCTGTCGACCGATTTCGTCATCATCCGTACCCGGCAGCAATATTACATTCGGGAAATTGACGCGCTTTTCGTCGCCGGACAGCAGTGTCCTCTTTACGAGGTTCCGGGACCGAACTCGAAGAGGGCCAACAATTTTGTTAGAGACTTCTTACAGGTAGGTAAAGGAATTCTTCCTATTGGCCATGGAAAAATATATGTTACGTTCTTCTGGTAGCTAGAGAAAGTCGAGAGTAGCTCTAGGGTCTTTATTCATTACAATGGAGAAAATAGTTTTCAGCAACATCGCAGAATTTTATATAAATCTATCGCGAACAGTATGACATAAAAATTCGGGAGTCATGAAAAATAATCACATTTGGCATTTAGGTATGTAAAATACATTCAACAAGTATATTACGCCCCCAGATAAAACAAATAAAAACCCCAACTCATCGCACAAGCCGATAACAATAATCATACTTGAACCTTCAATCTTTGCAACTTTTTCTCTTTAACTCGAGCGAAATCCATTTAGTCTGTCTACTTCCCCACATGCATCAAATTATTCACCGATTTACTGCCACACAAATCCAGCAAAAATTCAGCAATCCTACTCTCCCAGCATGCGTTTTTGAAGATATCTTCGCGAATCAAAGCAATGGAAGTAGAGAAAAATCCCAATGTCAAGACACTTGTTCTGTGCCCAATTGTCGAGCAAGCCGAAGCCCAGTTCGACACAAAGCCAGCAAACATTCAGCAATCCTACTCTCCCACCATGCGTTTTTGAAGATATCTACGCGAATCAAAGGAATGGAAGTAGAGAAAAATCCCAATGTCAAGACACTTGTTCTGTGCCCAATTGTCGAGCAAGCCGAAGGCCAGTTCGACACAAGCAAACATTCAGCAATCCTACTCTCCCACCATGCGTTTTTGAAGATATCTTCGCGAATCAAAGGAATGGAAGTAGAGAAAAATCCCAATTTTAAGTCACTTACTCAGTATCCTATTGTCAAGCAGGCAGGAGGCGAGTTCGACACAAATTCAGCAAAAGTTCAGCAATCCTACTCTCCCACCAAGCGGTTTTGAAGATATCTACGCGAATCAAGGGACAGGAGTAGAGAAAAATTCAAATTCAAAGACACTTGCTTTGTCCAATTGTCGAGCAAGCGGAAGGCGAGTTCGATACAAATTCAGCAAAAATTCAGCAATCCTACTCTCCCACCATGCGTTTTTGAAGATATCTTCGCGAATCAAAGGAATGGAAGTAGAGAAAAATCCCAATTTTAAGTCACTTACTCAGTATCCTATTGTCAAGCAGGCAGGAGGCGAGTTCGACACAAATTCAGCAAAAGTTCAGCAATCCTACTCTCCCACCAAGCGGTTTTGAAGATATCTACGCGAATCAAGGGACAGGAGTAGAGAAAAATTCAAATTCAAAGACACTTGCTTTGTCCAATTGTCGAGCAAGCGGAAGGCGAGTTCGATACAAATTCAGCAAAAATTCAGCAATCCTACTCTCCCACCATGCGTTTTTGAAGATATCTTCGCGAATCAAAGGAATGGAAGTAGAGAAAAATCCCAATGTCAAGACACTTGTTCTGTGTCCAATTGTCGAGCAAGCCGAAGGCCAGTTCGACACAAAGCCAGCAAAAATTCAGCAATCTTACTCTTCCACCATGCGTTTTTGAAGATATCTACGAGAATCTAGGGAAAGGAAGTAGAGAAAAATTTCAATTTCAAGACACTTGCTCTGTGTCCAATTGTCGAGCAAGCCAAGACAAAAAATTCAGCAAAACTTCAGCAATACCACACTCCCATCATGCAGTTTTGAAGATATCTACGCAAATCAAGGAACAGGAGTAGAGAAAAATCCCAATGTCAAGACACTTGTTCTGTGTCCAATTGTCGAGCAAGCCGAAGGCCAGTTCGACACAAAGCCAGCAAAAATTCAGCAATCTTACTCTTCCACCATGCGTTTTTGAAGATATCTACGAGAATCTAGGGAAAGGAAGTAGAGAAAAATTTCAATTTCAAGACACTTGCTCTGTGTCCAATTGTCGAGCAAGCCAAGACAAAAAATTCAGCAAAACTTCAGCAATACCACACTCCCATCATGCAGTTTTGAAGATATCTACGCAAATCAAGGAACAGGAGTAGAGAAAAATCCCAATGTCAAGACACTTGTTCTGTGTCCAATTGTCGAGCAAGCCGAAGGCCAGTTCGACACAAAACCAGCAAAAATTCAGCAATCCTACTCTCCCACCATGCGTTTTTGAAGATATCTACGCGAATCAAGGGAATGGAAGTAGAGAAAAATCCCCATGTCAAGACACTTGTTCTGTGTCCAATTGTCGAGCAAGCCAAAGGCCAGTTCGACACAAAGCCAGCAAAAATTCAGCAATCCTACTCTCCCACAATGCGTTTTTGAAGATATCTTCGCGAATCAAAGGAATGGAAGTAGAGAAAAATCCCAATGTCAAGACACTTGTTCTGTGTCCAATTGTCGAGCAAGCCGAAGGCCAGTTCGACACAAAACCAGCAAAAATTCAGCAATCCTACTCTCCCACCATGCGTTTTTGAAGATATCTACGCGAATCAAGGGAATGGAAGTAGAGAAAAATCCCCATGTCAAGACACTTGTTCTGTGTCCAATTGTCGAGCAAGCCAAAGGCCAGTTCGACACAAAGCCAGCAAAAATTCAGCAATCCTACTCTCCCACAATGCGTTTTTGAAGATATCTTCGCGAATCAAAGGAATGGAAGTAGAGAAAAATCCCAATGTCAAGACACTTGTTCTGTGTCCAATTGTCGAGCAAGCCAAGACACAAATTCAGCAAAACTTCAGCAATACCACACTCCCATCATGCGGTTTTGAAGATATCTTCGCGAATCAAGGGACAGGAGTAGAGAAAAATCCCAATGTAATGACACTTGCTCTGTTTTATTAAGAACTAAAAAAAAATCACAATTGGTTTGCAAGAGGGTCGAGAAAAGAGCTTAAAGAGTCCTTCTAGGAGCTTATCTTCTTTTCTTTCTTAGAACTGAGCCTTGCAGAGATTTTGTGAGTTTTTGAAGCCTTTCAAGATTTAACAGACTTTAATAAAGTATCATGCGCATCTACTTGCTAGCCTTCGTTCTTGTGCACTTTGTTAGGTTTGCGCCCATCGCAAAATCCAGTAGCGTAACAACGTCTTTCGATTGGTTCAAATTCAAAACCGTCAGATATGTAACAAGGTGTGTATTTTGTGCAGGTATTTATATATCGGCTATTCTGGAAGAGTCGCGACAACCCGCGACGTATAAAAATGGACGATATTAAAAAAGCGTTCCCCTCGCACTCTGAGAGTAGCATAAGGAAACGGCTGAAGCTGTGCGCCGATTTTAAGCGTACCGGCATGGACTCGAACTGGTGGGTGATCAAGCCCGAGTTTCGGCTACCCACCGAGGAGGAGATCAGGGCGATGGTGTCGCCAGAGCAGTGCTGCTCGTACTTTAGCATGGTGGCGGCCGAGCAGCGACTCAAGGTGAATCGTGTTCTTTTAGCGCGCCCTCTATGATTGCTTCTAGGATGCCGGTTATGGCGAGAAATTCCTCTTCACCCCTCAGGAGGACGACGACGAAGAGATGCAGCTGAAGATGGACGACGAGGTGAAGGTGGCACCGTGGAACACCACCCGAGCGTACATTCAGGCGATGAAAGGCAAGTGCCTGCTGCAATTAACCGGTCCGGCGGATCCCACCGGCTGCGGTGAGGGGTTCAGTTACGTGCGCGTCCCGAATAAACCTACGGTAAGTGCCCCTTCTCGAGAGCTACGAAATAAATGTCCGATTTCAGCAAAGCAAAGAGGAGCAGGAGTCGCAGCCGAAGCGGACCGTTACAGGAACGGACGCGGATCTCCGCCGTTTATCCCTGAACAACGCCAAGGCGTTGCTGAGAAAATTCGGCGTGCCCGAGGAGGAGGTGCGTTCGCGTTCGCGAAACGGTCCGATTAACCTTTCGGTTGTAGATCAAAAAGTTGTCTCGGTGGGAGGTGATCGACGTCGTCCGAACGCTCTCGACTGAGAAAGCGAAGGCCGGCGAGGAGGGCATGGACAAATTTTCGCGTGGCAATCGTTTCTCCATCGCCGAACACCAGGAGCGCTATAAGGAGGAGTGCCAGCGAATTTTCGACTTGCAGAATCGCGTGCTCGCTAGCGAAGAGGTGCTAAGTACGGACGAGGGCGAAAGTTCCGACGAGGACAGCGACGAGGACATCGAGGAAATGGGCAAGAACATCGAGAACATGTTGGCGAATAAAAAGACCAGCACGCAACTCTCTCTCGAGCGGGAGGAGCAAGAGAGACAGGAGTTACGGAAGATGATCATGGAAGGCGGGGAGGGGGAGAAGAAGATGAAACCGAAGAAGAAGGAGGACGAGGAGAACCAAGACCAGTACGGGTACGCCCAGCAGGGGCGGGTCTTGAAAATCGTGCGCGCCTATCGTAATCCCGACGGCAAAGAGTATACGCGAGTTGAAATCGTGCGTAAACCGCAAGTGATCGACGCTTACGTCAAGATACGAACGACCAAAGACGAGCAGTTTATTCGGCACTTTGCGACGCTGGACGAGGCGCAGAAGGAGGAGATGAAAAGGGAGAAGAGGCGCATACAGGAGCAGCTGCGGCGAATCAAGCGCAATCAGGAGCGCGAGCGCCTTGCCGTTCTTTCGAGCGGAGGCGGAAATTCTAACTCAACGTTTGGCAGTAGCATTAACTCCGACATCGTTAAAACGACTACTTTGGAAGGTAAATATCTGGAGTGGGTGCGTGTTACAATTACACATCTCTCCTCTTTGTTCCAATCTTTATATTTTGGTTTTGTATCTTATTTAAATCTTCCACCACTATTTTATTTTCTGACCTAAACTTTACGACGGCTAAAAACGGAATCTCTCAAAAAACAACCTCCAGATTAATCCCTACCTATCTTTCCAAATTAACGAACGCCCCAAAATGGCGATTTATTAACGAAATCGGCCATTTTTATCGTATCTCGAAGTCGAACTATGGTGCAAAAAAACCGATCGTCGATTTGCAGGTCCCTCAGTGGCGCCATCCGTGTCTACTCCTTCGACGAAAGCGTCGCCGACCACTCCGAAATCGCGACGAAAGACGAAACTGAAACCGGACCTAAAGCTAAAGTGCGGCGCGTGCGGAAACGTGGGTCATATGAGGTAATAATTCGACCCGATTCGAAAGCCATCGATTTAACGATAATTACTCGTACAGAACCAATAAGGCTTGCCCGCTGTATCAAAATTCGGGATCGGCGCCGCCGGTGAACGTCGCGATGACCGAGGAGCAGGAGGAGGAGATCGAAAGGCAGTTGAACACCGACGACGAGGATCTGGTGAACGTCGACGGGACAAAGGTGAAATTATCGGGAAAGTTGTTAAAGGTAAGCGCGAATGTGACTGCCGACGATTGATTTGGTCTGTCCCTAGCACGCCGAGGAGATCAAGCGAAAGAGTTTACTGCTTAAGGTTCCGCGCGACGCGATGAACGCGAGGAAGCGAAGGCGCGCCAATTCCGACTTGCACTGCGACTATTTGAAACGTCAGAATCGTCCGGCGAACAGGAGGCGAACCGATCCGGTCGTCGTTCTGTCCACCATTTTGGAGTCGATTCTGAACGAGCTACGAGATATGCCCGACGTGCAGCCGTTTTTGTTTCCCGTTAATTCTAAGGTAAATTCTGTTAGCCACGAGAGTAGCTCTAGGGTCTTTTTTGGCAAGGAAGCTAAAAGAGCTACTGAAACCCTTTCAGGAAATGTACTCACTTACATTCTTAGTGTTTTTGCAATTTATGTTTTACAATAGGCCCTGTATGACAACATTCACACCAAGGTCTCACTGGCGTGGCATTTGTTATCATTTTTTGATTGAGAAGTCTGATCGAAAAAGTACGAATTGTTTTGGGTTCTACGCACCCAAATTAATAAGAAAAAGTGTTTTCCCGAGAAATTTTGGTACAGTCGATTTTTGGTAAAAAAGGAAGGTAATAACTGCCTTTTTTTGAGCCCCGAAAAAAAATTCTCAGATCGATCCGGAAAAAAAAATTTCTTATAGAATGTGGCCTGTAGAATCCATAATTTCAAACAGTTCCAAGATTGGGCTACTAGTTCAGAAGTTACAGCCCTTTGAATTTTTTTTCGAATTTGGTTTCTAGTCTATAACTTTTGCTTATCAAGGTCATCATGAACTAACTTGTGTTCATATTTTAATTTTGAGGTTACCGAAGGTCAACGGTCCTATTTCATTATTTATTTTGATTTTTGCAGCTAGTAATCGATTATTACAACATAATCGAGCGCCCGATGGACCTACAAACGATAAGGGAGAATCTGCGCCAGAAAAAATACCAAAGTCGCGAGGAATTTCTGGCGGACATCGATCAGATCGTCAAAAATTCGTCGCGCTACAACGGCGAGAAGAGCAGCCTAACGATCGCCGCGCAGCGAATGCTGAACAAGTGCATCGAGCGATTGGAGGAGAAGGAGGATCGGCTAATGCGATTGGAGAAGGCCATAAATCCACTTTTGGATAACGATCAGGTCGCGCTGACCTTCATTCTCGACAACGTCATCAACACCAAGCTGAAAACGATGGCGGAATCGTGGCCGTTCCTCAAGCCGGTCAACAAGAAGATGGTGAAGGACTACTACAACATCATCAAGCGGCCCATGGATTTGGAGACGATCGTTAAGAAGGTGTCGTCTCACAAGTATCACAGCCGGCACGAGTTTTTGGTCGACGTCCAGCAGATTTTGGAGAATTGCATTTTGTACAATGGGAAGGACTCGCCGTTCACTCAGAAGGCGGAGGCGATCGTGCTGGTCTGCCGAGCGACCTTGGACGAGGTAAGCGCCGATAGTCGCGTGATTGAGCCTAATCGGTTGCGTTGCAGTACGACGAGCACTTGACGCAGTTGGAAAGTAAAATCGCGGCGGCCCACGAGCGTGCGATGCAAGAGGACGATAGCGCGTGGCTGGGTGTCGACGAGGAGAATTACACTATCGCCGAACCCGATCACATGGTAGGTCTTTGGAGAGGTTTTGGAGTTTTAAACCTGTACTTCCACCACAAAGTCACTCATTTTCAACCTTATTACGTGGTTATTTTGTGACAGAATTTTCCAAAAAAAATCTTCGTCAATGACCCACCCTGTATAGCACTTTCTTAAATGATAATGTAGATCTTTATGAAACTCGTCAGGGTAAACACAGTATCGAAGTACATGGAGCTAAATGGTCATGGATAGTTTTGGGATGTCCGGACAACTTAAAAAAAATAACTAAGTCGATAGATATTACTAAAAAAACTTAAAACGGAAATCCGTAGCATTCTGGTGTTAAACCTTACTCATATAAACAAAGATAAATAAAATTTTGTATTCAACGCCAGGGAATTTTGAATATTGTTTGACATAATTTTAATATTCCTAAAGGAATCGACCACCCGTCAAAGTTATTTGCGTTATCCGAATCAACCACGAAACATCGCCGCCAGCATATTAAATGCTTGGTTAGAAATCGGCATTTTAGAAAAGATTACAAATTCAAAAAATTGCACTTTCTGAATGTAAACACAGCAGAACAATTTACAAATTACGGCTGTTATTATTTTATAATGCATGGTGTTTCATTTGTTTAATTTTCCAAGGCCTACCTAAAAGTATAGGGTGCTTTTCTTTCGCGCCATCTACAAATACCGGAAATACGTAAAAAGCAAATTTAAGATACAATTTAAGCATTTTAATTAATTAATCTCATTTTCCCAATATTTGAGGTAAGGAACAAGATTTTGAAAAACGGGTTTTATTGGCCTCTTTGGATCTTATTTGGCTACTTTTTCACAAAGAAAAAGTCATATCATTCCATTTGATTTTTTTAGGATTTTGGATCATAGTGTCAAAACTGGCCCCCTGGCGGAGGAGGATTCAACTAAATTAACTATATTTTGGTTGATTCTCATTGGCCAAGGAATGCTCTAAGTTAAAGCAGGTTATTGCAAAAACAATTGAACGCCCCACGCCATCTTTGTTTTCGAAATAACTGAGTTTTTGTTTTTACGAAAATGATAGATTTAAAAACATGAAAAAGTTGAAAAAGCAAGCAGTTTGGGGGGATTTTGGTTTGGAGTTATTCTCCTGATCCGTCTTTCGTTACATGCCCATTCTACGCTTTTCATCAACTGTATCAACGAGACATCCGTTTGCGAGAAAAATACGAGAGCGGCAAAAACGTTGTTTCCACAACAAATTAACGGCAAAAAAGCGGCAAAATACACCACCTATTGTCTCGCTAAAGTTGAAGGACATAGTTTTGGGACCGCTGTCATTTCCCACCGGTCGCCGAATGTAACTTGAAGGCCACTCTAAATTTCAGAGTTTCGCCGGTTCGCCGGACAACATCTACTTCAAGGGCAACGTCGAGGATTACGATTACGTCGACGTCGAGGGCGGCGGTCTCGGTTTCGGCGACGTCCTGAGTCCGCCGCCGAAGATCCGAAGGGGCCGCGGACGGCCGCGCAAGAAGATCGCGGCGACGCTCGAGGAGGACCTGCAGTTTTCGAGCGAGGAGGAGCTCGACGAGGTGCCGATCGGCGAGTGCGACGACAGCAAGGGGGGCATACTGATTTCGGCCGAGATGCCGGTGCCGGGCGCCGACGACGACAGTCAGCAGGCCGCCGAGGCGATGGTGCAGCTAGGTACGATGGGCTTTTATCACCAGCACGAGCAAGGCGAGTCGGTTATGTTCAAACACGAGCATAGCGAATCGGTTATGTTTAAAGGTAAAGAGTAGCTATACGTTTGTGGGGTCTAAAAGGAAGCCTTCATTTCAGAGGAAAGCTTCGACGTCGATCCCAATTACGATCCCTCTGACTTCCTCATGTCCGAATTGCCGAGACATAAGGTGGACGAAATTGCAATTCACAAGTCGAACGTGAAGGAAATGAAAATCCACGACGATTTAGCAGTTAGCGAAAGCGACGATGAAACTGGAAATGTACCGTCTATGCCCACCCAACAGTTGCCGGACGATGACGACGTCGGCGATGGTGACTTATGGTTTTAATGTAAAGGAGTGATTTTGGTATTTTATTATCGTTACTATTTGTAATATAAGGGATGTAGTTAATAAAAACTATCACTGGAACCACCTTAGTTACGACACCTAATGCCGGGACTGTTCTCGAATCTCAACTATAGACTGGCAAATCTCGCAACCAGGGCCCATAATTGCTACCTGTTCCAGGGGCGGAACTCTGCTAACACAAAAACCTTATATGAGTTCCAATTCTTTAATTTCCAACATGTTCTGTATTTTAAACGTTGAATCTGCCTTCCAAAGCAGGTCGAGAAAGATGTCGACGGGCTTTTGGCTCGTGCGGCGGTTGTTCGCTCCAATAAATAAGGGTCGGAATCGTTGGCATCACAATAAGGGAATGGGGGAACCTGGTACATCAGTGATGGACGAGGTAACCTTCTTACAGAGCAATTTGCAGCACATTAAGGGGGCTGCCAACTTGCTGTAAAGCAGACGGGAAGAACCTTGAGTTTGCAGGGGACACATTCGCACATCCGGGGCTCAAAAAAAAGCAGTTATTACCATCCTTTTTTACCAAAAATCGACTGCACCCAAATTTCTCGGGAAAACACATTTTCATATTAATTTTGGTGCGTAGAGTCCAAAACAATATTTCGATTAGATTTCTTAATCAAACCTAACTATCACCCTAACCTAACCTCACTAAAAAATTTTCCTAACCTTAATCTCCTCGCACATTATATTCTCCTGATACAAGATTTTTGAGCTAACCTAACTATCACCCTAACCTAACCTCACTAATTTTTAATCCTAACCTTCAATCTCCTCGCACATTATATTCTCCTGATACAAGATTTTTGAGCTAACCTAACTATCACCCTAACCTAACCTCACTAAAAAATTTTCCTAACCTTAATCTCCTCGCACATTATATTCTCCTGATACAAGATTTTTGAGCTAACCTAACTATCACCCTAACCTTCAATCTCCTCGCACATCATATTCTCCTGATACAAGATATTTGAGCTAACCTAACTATCATCCTAACCTAACCTCACTAATTTGTTATCCTAACCTTCAATCTCCTCGCACATTATATTCTCCTGATACAAGATATTTGAGCTAACCTAACTATCACCCTAACCTAACCTCACTAAAAATTTTTCCTACCCTTAATCTCCTCGCACATTATATTCTCCTGATACAAGATTTTTGAGCTAACCTAACTATCACCCTAACCTAACCTCACTAATTTTTAATCCTAACCTTCAATCTCCTCGCACATTATATTCTCCTGATACAAGATTTTTGAGCTAACCTAACTATCACCCTAACCTAACCTCACTAAAAAATTTTCCTAACCTTAATCTCCTCGCACATTATATTCTCCTGATACAAGATTTTTGAGCTAACCTAACTAGTATACTCTAACCCAACCTCTCCAATGACCAAACTCCGAATCATCTCGTGCGAGAACAATCAGACCCTTAGGAGTTGAAGGAGGTGGTTGGAAACCTCCTACAATTTTTGGAAACTACAGCATAGAATTTACTCTCTGCCTAAAGGTGGAACTGGAAAAGGCAGCTTTTATAGATTCCTCTAAGTTGTCATCTGAGTGAGAACCTGACGACAGTTAAACGGCGCCTGAAGGTGCAGAATTCCTGGGCAAAGTAGGCAGCTGTCTGGAGGAATTGGGTCGTAGGGAGTCTTGGACAAGTAGACAAGATTCCCGAAGTCCATAAATGGCATCAGAGAAAGCACGGAGAGGTACACTAACATCTAACAATGCTTACACGGGGAAAACGCAGAGTATAGCTAGTAAAATGGCAGTTACAAATGTACGGATAAGATCTGTACAGCAATTTGTACTTCAATTACCAGATTTTTGAAAAATTAGTGGAAATATAATGGCAGCAAGTGCGCCATCTCCTTGGTAATCGCTACACTTTCTCTCATTGAATAGTTTTAGTAGTTGCGTTGAGATGCCGCCACGTACGTAACTTCATTTGAAATTGCTTTTGAATTTATGCGATTAATAGCCGCGTTGGACTTAGTTTTCCTTAATTGGCACCTGAAGATGCACGGAGTCTTGCATAATCTGTAGAGCAATTGCAGTTCAATGCTCCGGTTTTTGAATAATTAATGCAAATACAATTGGTACAAGTGCGCCATCTCCTTGGTAATCGATACACTTTCTTTCATATTATAGTATTACAAGTTTGGTTGAGATGTCGCCACGTACGAAACTTTTTCGTAATTCCTTTTTATTCGACATACAGATTCAAAAGGCGTCGGGACGACACCATTGCGAACCTCGGGCATACAGACACTCCAGGACATGGAGTATTTGATTGTAAGAGGTGGGAAAGGCGTCCATGGACGCTGAGAATGGATTTGGTGGACACACACCCCCACGCACGCTTGCACCATACACGCGTCGAAATAATTATTTCAAAGTTTAGGTGGCAATGAAAGGCTCCTCAAATGGTTCACCGTGGCCGTACCGTGCGCGTCCATCACCTTTTTAAACGACACTGTGCTCACGATGTAAACCTGCTCTCACAGAAATATTTCAACGCCCTACTTCGTCTTAAACCTTTACAAAACTTGTATCAGGAGAATATAATGTCCGAGAAGGTGATTGAGAGTTAGGTTAAAGTTTTAGTGAGGTTAGGTTAGAGTGGTAGTTAGGTTAGCTCAAAAATCTTGTATCAGGAGAATATGATGTGAGAGAAGATTGAAGGTTAGGATAAAAAATTAGTGAGGTTAGGTTAGGGTGATAGTTAGGTTAGCTCAAAAATCCTGTATCAGGAGAATATGATGTGCGAGGAGATTGAAGCTTAGGATAAAAAATTAGTGAGGTTAGGTTAGGGTGATAGTTAGGTTAGCTCAAAAATCTTGTATCAGGAGAATATGATGTGCGAGGGGATTGAAGGTTAGGATAAGAAATTAGTGAGGTTAGGTTAGGGTGATAGTTAGGTTAGCTCAAATTGGTTTAGGCGTCTAAAATTTTGCCAAACTAATTTGACCTAACCTAACTATCACCCTAACCTAACCTCACTAAAAAATGTTCCTAACCTTAATCTCCTTGCACATTATATTCTCCTGATACAAGATTTTTGAGCTAACCTAACTAGTATACTCTAACTTAAGCACACCAAACCCTGAATCACCGTGTGCGAAAACAACCATTCCCTTTAGTGGTTGGAGGAGGTGGTAGGAAACCTTCCACAATAATTGTGGGAGGTTACACACCTAAAGATAGTACAGGACAAGACCGCTTTTTTGGGCTCCTCAAGGTGGGAACCTGACAACCTGGTGGCGGTTAAACGGCGCTTGGAGGTGGCAAATTCCTGGTCAAAAGTAGGCAACTGGCAGGAAGAGTGGGGTCGTAGGAAAACAGCGGATTCCCGACGTCCAGAAATGGCACCAGAGAAAGCACGGAGAGGAACACTAACAAGGACACGGGGAGAACGCAGAGCACCTAGATAAATGGTAGTCGGGGTCTTGCAAGATCTATGATTAAAGTCTCAGTCTCACGGCTGACACAATCAAATGATAATTTTCTGTTTATATTATCATATTGTATATGATCGACTACTATATCTTTACATTCTAACAATCACCCTGTATAAAATGACTATTCCTTATACTTTTGGTTGAATATTGTTGGCAGTATCTTATCGTTGAGTGTAGAATTTATTAGAACTTTATGCGATTATTGCGATTAATGTCACAATATTGAGAAAAATTCACAGAATTGTTGTGTGAAAATTGCGTAGTTAGTATGGAAAATAGCAGTCTCTGAGTATTGTCATTTGGGGCATTTTGATCGAATTCGGGCAGAACCTTGGCGACATTTATGCCCTTTTCGACCTAATTAGTTACGATATCTCTTTCAAAATGCTTTCGCTTAACGTTTTTAGGCAAATCTCTTCAAAATGCGTCGTACCACAAATGAAATACCGTCAACGCGGCTTTGGATCAACTGGCATCGTAAATGGCACATTCAAGGTTCAGGACGACAAGGATTTTTCGGAAAAGGTCGAAAACAGCAAGGAGCCTGTTATAGTTGACTTTTTTGCGACGTAAGTTTTAAGGGGAGCCGTTGAAAGTATTGTTTCGCTCATTTACAGATGGTGCGGTCCCTGTCGAGCGTTGGAACCGCGATTGGAGAACGTGGTAGCGAAGCGACATGGCAAGGTCAGTTTGGCAAAGGTCGACATCGACGCATTCGGCGAGATTGCCGCAAAATACGAGGTCGGTACTATTCCCGCGTTAGTCGTATTTCGTAACGGCAAAGTGGAGGAACGGCTAATCGGATTGCAAGACGAAGATAAGCTGGGTTTATGGGTGGATAAGGTTTTAGATAAGAAGTAATCGAGACTAAGGTGTAAATAAATTGTTTATTGTTAAATTAAACCTTGCATTTCTTTCATGAATTGCATGTAGGCGTCGTCTTTCGTTAATTGTTTCGTCGGCGTGCTCGGAATGTGCACCAGCATCTCCTTCTGCTTCAGTTCGTTGGCGAGAGCGGCGCGACTCGACGATTTCGGTTTCTTGTCCTCGCGCTTCACCCGCAACGCCGACGGAACGAACCGTGTAACGTCGGCGCTCAAATTTCGTATTTGCGGCTTCGCCGATATCGTCGCGCCCTGTTTGATGCCCGACTCTATACGTATCAGCTGAGGTCCGGCCGATAGGACGTTCGGCGTCGCCAAAGATAGATTCGGAGGAGGGCCGGGTAGGCGAATCATTCGTGGGGGAGCGGGCGGCATTCGTAGCGGAATACGATGCGGTAAGCCGGGTGGCGGACCGGGCGGTAAAAGCGGTCGTCCCGGCGGAGGACCCGGGGGTAGTCGCAGCGGTGCCGGGAATATCAGCGCGGGAGGTGCCGGGATTTGTGGCTGTGGGAGGGTCTGGGCCGGTACTGTCGGTAAAGGATCCGTCCCGGGCGGTGCAAGTGGTTCCGAAGCTCTAGGTTTATCGTCGTCTTTGTCGTTCTCTTGCTTTTTATGCACCGACTCCATTTCTTTCATGAAATCGTCGATGTTTTGACCGGATAGCGCTACCATCTTTTGTTGCACGGAGGTCGGTTTGGATGGGACGCCGTCTTCGTCCGAATCCTCGACGGAACTGTCCGAATTGTATTCCTCAATTTCCTCATCGATCCTCAAAAGGTGTTTGGCGTATTCGACGTCTTCGCCGTCGCTGTTTATTTCCGGCGGAGGACCCGGAGGACAGCCGGCCGGTTCTCTAATCGTGTGCCCCTACAATTTCAGTGTCCGTTAAGCAAAAAGCACTTTATCGAGATTTACCAAAGCTTGCAGTTTGAGAGCAGTCGCGATCGAGTAAATTGTGTGTTGCGGTTTTTGAATTTCCGTCGGTAGCGGAATTTGCGCGGGTAAATTTGACAGCTGTTCGGGCATTTGCGGTAACGGAATCTCGTCGACCGAGACTTGCTGCGCCGTTTTCACGGACTCGTAGAAGGCGACGATTTGGTTCCTCTTATGTTCGTAATCTGCCTGTTTTCGCTTTAAATCGGTCCATTTGTCCGGATCGTCCCTATACTGCAATGCGGATCGCAATTTTTAAGGAATAGGAATCGTTTCTCCGTTACTTACATACATATTAAGCACCCGTTCCAAAGTATCACGTAGTTTCTTTCGCTTATCTTTCAAGACCTTTTCGTTTAGTGGTGACGGTTGGGTGACATTGAATTCTGGAAATACCGTTTCGTTAACTGAATCGAATCGAACCTCTTAATAGTACGAACCCATTTGATCGATTTTCTCCAACTCGTCGAGGATTTGAATGGGATCTTTTCCTTTCAGTACGGCGGCCCTCACCATCTGCCTCTGTTTCTTATTCTTCTTTAATTCCAATTTTCTTGCCTCTTTTCCTGTAACAAACCGGGCTTAAACCGATGTGGTAACTTAACGGCTACTTACTCGCTTGATCTGTTGGATTCATGTATTTACCACTTTTAGTGGTATTTATAGATCTTCGTCCCATTCTCGTAAAAGAGATTGTTTACTGCTTAATTATTCCAAATACAATCAATTAAATAAATATTTTTCCTTAAAATGACATCTGTAAATATTGTCAAAAAGAAGCGAAACCTAAGATATACAAGACAAAATTTATACCAGGCGATATTTATCATACGATGTCCGTACCGAAAGATTATACAGGGTAATACGGTTTAAATATATTTAAAACCACTCGTCAAAATAGTCCAATCCCAAAAATTCCTGTTGATTTTCGTCTGTATATTTGAAAACTACTGGAAATTTCGAGAATGGCCCACTACCTACATAAAAAATAAAAAGTAAGCAACAAACAATACACTTATGACACGTGTTGCGTATACTGCAATCATAAATACTCAATGCACATGCAAATTAAAATAATTTGTAGCAGCCTAGCGTTCTAAATACGTCTGGTTGGTAGTTCACTACTGTAGAACAATACTACATTTGAAAATGTCTTTACTTTGTACAGTTTCAAGAAAGCACAATTTATACAGTTCTCTGCTCCACACATTTATGACTCAAGGCGAATTTGAAAGACAAGATAAGCATCACATAAAAAGTGAAACGGCAACAATAATCATAAAAGTTTTAAAAATGGAGGCTGTTGACTGTGATTATTATGAATCGAGTCGCAAATAACCGCTTATCGCCCTACGTTTATCTTAATTTCGTATTGGAATGGCCGATAGAAATGAGAAAGTTCTGCACGAGCTCCTGAAATTACCCGGAAACAGTCTCTGCGCCGATTGTGGCAGTAGAAGTGAGCTTTTAGGTTATTTGTTTTTTCCTCTTTTTTAATTCGATAATTCAGATCCAGAATGGGCATCGTACAACATTGGCATCTTTCTGTGCACTCGCTGTTCGGGAGTCCATCGAGGAATGGGGGTGCACATTAGCAAAGTGAAGCACCTTAAGCTGGATCGTTGGGAGGACTCGCAGGTGGAGCGAATGAAGGAAGTCGGTAACTTGACGGCGAAACTCAAATATGAGGAGAGAGTGCCGCCATGCTATAGACGTCCGAAGGAATACGATCCACAGTACGCGTATTTAACGGTACTTTTGCCTAACCCCACTGTCGTGGTCAATTTTTAGGGTGTTAATCGAGCAGTGGATACGCGCTAAATACCAAAGGGAGGAGTTCTGCTATCCGGAACGGCAGTGTTACGTTAGCGGATACATGGTGGGATTCCTAATGAAACGGGGCAAAGAGGACAGTCGGTATCATCCCCGTAAGTTTGTACTGTCCGAAGCGGAGGACACGCTCAAGTATTTCGTACGCGAAAACAAGGAACCGAAAGCGATTCTGCGCCTCTCGGAACTAAACGTAGTCTTCGCTCCCGAGAAAATCAACTTTCCTAACTCCTTGCAGCTAACGTTCTTAAAAGACGGCACCACTAGGCACATATACGTTTACCACGACGATCCGGAGGTGATAACCAACTGGTACATGGCGATACGTTGTGCCAAACTTCACCGTCTTCAAGTTGCTTATCCGTCGGCGAGCGAAGCCGATCTGATCGGTTACCTCACCGAAGACTTTGCCAAAGAGGGGTGGCTATGGAAAACGGGACCCAAAACGTCGGACGGATTTAAGAAGCGATGGTTTACGCTGGACAATAGGAAGCTAATGTACCACGACGAGCCTCTAGATGCCCATCCGAAAGGCGAGATATTTATAGGCCACGCGATGGACGGGTACAGTGTACGAATTGGCGTGGTAGCCGGCGTGAGAGATCAAGGCTTTTCCTTTGCTTTACAAACGCCCGATAGAATATTTAACTTGTCAGCTTCAACGGAGTCCGATCGAGATCAATGGCTTCAAGTGTTGGAAAAGGTTATCGATAGACCTTTATCGCCCCAAGACAGTTCAAGTAAATAACATTTTGTTTTACCGATTATCATTTGTTTATTTGCAGTATCCGTGAGATTGGTTCGCAAACGGACAAATACCAATTCTATAAGTATTTTTTCTCCAAGGTAGTCTATGCATATCAGTTACTCGCCTCTTCATCCATCACTTCGCCTAGTCTCCATATTTATTGCAAACACGATAGTATATTTCACTTACAGTACATTTTCTAAAAGATTGATTATTCCTCTGTATATTTTAAGATAAAATAAATCAGTATCATAAGGCATTCTTTCTTTTACTCTGCCGATATAAGTTAAGATCACTTCGGTTCATTAAAAGTTAGCAGCGAAAAACAGTTTTGCAATGGAAGAAATCCCTTTCGGCTTGGTGCATCAGCTGTAGGTAGATCCCGTGGGCATGTCTCCGATTAGTGGAACTCCAAATAGAGTACCGCGAACAACAAGTCATTCGATAGGTCTTACCTAGAGTAGGGTATACCCTAGGTTCTTAGAGTATACCCTAATCGAGAGCTACGTACGTGGTGACATCTCAACTAAACTTAGAAAACTATAAAATGAAGGTAAGTGTATTGATTTCCAAGGAGATGGTGCGCTTGTACCCATTGTATTAAAACCATCTTCTCTTATATATATGTTTAAAGCTAACTATACAAAAACATGGTCATTGAACAATTGCTGTAGCCTTTGCTTTTCACGAAAAATCGACTACTCCAAAACTGGTCGGGAAAACATAACTTTCGATTGAGAAGTCTGAATAAATGGCAGTTCAAAATGTACGGAGTCTTGCAAGATCTGTAGAGCAATTGTAGCTTAAAGGCGCGGTTTTTGAATAGATAGATTAAATACAATAAGTACTATTGCGCCATCTCCATGGCAATCGATACACTATCTACCAATTATAGTTATAGAAGTCTAGTTGAGATGTCGCCACGTACGTACCTTCTTTTAAAATATTATTTGAATTTATGCGATTAATAGCAACGTTGCACTTATTATTATTCCTTAAATGCAGTGCCGTTTTTAAGTTTTTCGGGGCCCTGGGCCATTCGTTCGTGGAGGCCCTCCTTACCCTCAATAAAAACGGCAGATTGGGGAGATTCAAGCAAATCCCTAATTTGAATATGGGCACTCGATATTTTGTGTAGCCTGGTTTGTAGGCAACACATCATGCTCGATGAACAGAAAACATTTATTTTTGCAATTCGTAACTTCTTATGCATAGGAGTTTATTTAAAGCCCTTGGAAGAACAATTTCAATAACAGGTACATTAAACTGAACCGTTTTACAACAACTTTCACACGAAGATCGCACAAACAACACATTTTTTCGTGATTGCAAACTGCCTACTTAACACTTTTGCCTTATTTCGCTGCCAATTTCACTACCGTTTCTATAACCGTAGTTCTATCAAATAAACTCTAGGCTCAATTCTTTAAAGAATAGCTTCGCACCATCGCCAGCAGCTTCAATCATGTAATCGTTCCGATTTTAACCTTGAGAAGTTTGAATTGCATTAGAATGGGTTTTCTGCGAGTTCTCCACTGTGTCCTCCTGTTTTGGTTACAAAGCATTTCCCTTTTCAATTTGTGTTGTCTGAATTCAATGCTAACGTTTCTCATCCTTCGAGAACTACATGTCTTCGATTGCACGACCCAGAGCGAACAGTATCATATTCCGCAAAGGTTGAGTCTGCCGCTTTCCTGTCACTCCCAGTAGCCAGTTCTCTAATTTAAACCTGTAAGCGAGAAAGGAATGATAACAAAGTTTAATTTTTGACTATAAAATAAACAAACATTCATTATGCATTTGAGGTTAAAACTTCATATATCTATGGTTTTTAAAAACTGCGCTCTGACATCTAACGTTAGTTTCATAAAGTACATTACAAAATTAGTGTGGCGACATCTTTGAGGTGTAAGTTCCAACTAAAATAATGGTGGTAATAAAGTGTCCTGCATTTAGCGATAAAATGTTAGTCCCCAATAATAAAGACAGATGTCAGCACGATGTATTCTGCTTTGATTCCAAAAACTCAGGCAAGGCTATAAACATTTTGGGATTTGTGCCTTTCGCTGTCAAAGGAGTAAACCACGAAACTCGAAAATTAAACATTTCGCTCCTGTATTATAGCCTATTCCTTTGCGTCATAGCGTTTTTGGAATGCCAAAGGACAGGGCGGGTAAACGGACGGCCGTCCGTATACCTCTTTGGTATATCTATACCTAGATTTTTGACGATTTTAATAAAGTATCTGTTCGCAATACACGAGTTAAATCGCCATAATGGGCTACTAGTTCAAAAGTTACAGCCCTTTGAATTTTTTTCTAGTCTATAACTTTTGATTGAGAAGTCTGATCGAAAAAGTACGAATTGTTTTGGATTCTACGCACCAAAATTAATAAGAAAAAGTGTTTTCCCGACAAATTTTGAAGTAGTCGATTTTTGGTAAAAAAAAAAGAAGGTTAACTATTCAAATACTATGCGTAGTATTCGAATACTGAATATTTGTGAAAGTATTTGAGTTACAAATACAAATACTGCTTCCATAAAAGTATTTAATTACAAAGTATTTGAATACTTTAAAGGATTTGAATACTAAAAAGTATTTACAAAATCGAATACTGCCCAGCTCTGTCGGCATCCAACTGTAGGTTCGAAACCCCGAAACCAGGGGCTGAGTACCCATCTTGCAGGATCTATGTGCGATAAATGAGTGGCGATTCAATAATTTCCAAAAACTTGCTTTTAACCTTGAGTGTAACCAACATTGTATATATGCATTTGCTATCTTTGTTAACTATTGCTTAAACTTTTACCAAATATTTTTTTAATTAACTTTTGGACTGACGTATTAATCAAACTGCGAGGTTTTTCTTACGTCGTACTCTTTTTACCCTTAGCAGTTACTTTTACTTCTACTTTCATGAATCACAGTTCGAATAGGTGTACCAGAGGCTGCATAATGGCAAAATATACATCGACGTTTTCCGAAGGCCCTTAATTGTATTCTGGCTTTGATTTCGTCCAGGCAATTAGGCGATCAAAATTCTTAATAAATGAATTGTAAGTCGTTTACGATTACTTTCGTATAAATTGTTATATATTTATATAAAATGCAATTATAAAAATAATATGTACTACCACTCGCTTGGTGCAACTATTGAATAAAAAAATATAATATTCAATGGTCCACATACATCACCCTTTCTTCGTCTGTGCTTCAATAACGTAATAGAAGTCGTCCTCGGCCGTTTGCACATTTGGATCAGACTCAAAGTCATCATCCGCCACTATGGAAGTTTCCACGTGCGCTTGACTTTCGGAACCAACAAGCGTCGCGCTTTTCGTTTTTTGTTTTAATTTTATTTCTCTATTACGCGCCTCCAATATTTTCTCTCTCTTCGCTTCCCTTTCGAACATCTGCAATATTGCGAATAATTCAAACAATTTATGTCTAGTATTGCTCTTACGGCATTTAGTAGCATCTTGTCTTGTCTGCTGCTCGTCGCCAAGTTTTCGCTGACTTGGACCAAGCTTGTGGTTCCTTTTGTGTTACCGACGGCGAGCAACCTCCCTTGCTCGTGGACGCGCAAACAAGTCAGCGGTTCATCGCTCACTTTTATACTCAAACACGCCTGTTTTTGCTGTTGCAGCACGTCCCATACATCTAGAATTCCATCACTACGCGTCGTAAAATACACCGACACCCTAAGGAGAAATTCATCGGTTGCGGTAAAGTGGACTACTCGAACCTAGTTGGACTCCAACATCCGTCGGAAAGGTACGCTCCGTGATAAGATGTCCACATTATGGAGCTCTCCTTGCAATCCTCCGACCATATTCGCACCGTCCAATCACCCACGCTAAGGAAATTCTTTACGTATCCGGAATTGCGTTGGATAGCCAGCACGGGTCCTAAGTGAGCGTGGAATTTGGTCGCCATCTTCTCGCCGGGGGACTTGCCCTTCCGGTTGCAGGAGATAATTACACCCTTTTCGGTACCGACCATGAACCGGGTTGGTATGCTCGGTTCGTACTCCAACGAGCAGGCGCTCATGGCTTTCTCGATCACTTGACCGGGAGAGCTCAATATTAGGGTCTCCAGAGGTTGATTTAATTTTCTTGTATCCCACCATTTCACCTGGCCGTCGGTTGACGTGCTGAAAAATTCAAGTCCTGATTTGGAATTGATCCACAGAACGCTTCGTGCTGGCTCGCGATGGCTGACTTCAGTTACGCTCCTATTTACTGGGACATTCCCCCTTCGCGCGTCCCACAAAGCCACTCGTCCGCTTAGATGGCCGCTAACAAGCGTATTCACGTCTTTTGTGTGATACTCGACGCATACCATTGGAGTCGTTCTAGGAGTAAAAACAAGCAACGGAGTGTTCGGATTCTCTGCAACAAGAAGCTTAAATGACAATTACTTGATCGGCGAGTTAGAGACCGATATCCCAAAGGTAAGATTGGTTCGTAACCAGACTTATAGGTTTTTGAAAGTCTAAACAGCAATGAGTCACGGCCAGTTTGGTACCTCCGTCGGGCGACCACGATATGCGATTAACTGGACGTTTCTCCTCGCAACAGTCTTGGTAGACGTTAACGGTGCGAACCGAACTTTGCTCAACCATAGGTAGTGGTTTGACATCGGTGAAATATTGTTGATAAATGTTCATTGAATTGTTTTGCAGAATGAAATGTTCCATGCTCTGTATGAATGTGACTCAATAGGAAGCTCATTTGGAAAATACTTGCTTTGGATAAAGACATAACGCTCGGGTTATAGGCGTCTTCTTTTTCGATTTTTCTACGATACCGTTTAACTTGCTCCTCGTCGTCTTTGTTAACGTCTTTGGGCCAACCCCCTTCGGAGTGATTGATACCATAGTTAACGAAATGCGCCCGGGTTGTATTGAGTTCGTGCTCAGATTGCACCTGACCACACTGCGTACTTTGAGTCACCGGGTCTCTAGAATTAAATCTGGGAGCGTTTAATCATGGAAGCTGAGTGTTACCTCAGTATAAAATTCGACAGGTGCTCTATATTGGAAGGGTAATTATCGATTAGGTCGGGCCCTTTGTCCGTAAATAGGCACTGCCGTCCAAATTCGCTTCTCTTCTTCTGGTAGACGAATTGTAAATCCATTGCAGTATTTCGAGAGCTGACAGTAATGTCAATTAGGGAATTGTTTTTTGAATACCACTCCTCCCCGATCAGTTTTATAAAACCCACGCGATGTCACCTCAATACGGAGAAGAAGGTGAAAATCATACAAATTCAACCTTGGCCAGAAAGTACTCGCGTATCCACCCTCATTGATTCGCTGAGCATGAGCAGACGGATACACATTCTCCGAAAAAGTAGCGAGCATAGGATTGGGTTGTCCAGGAGAACCGAGCTTCAAAGTTCGACTCAACCTCTTCGTACGACACGGAAACCGCCACCTGCGACAGATGACTTTTTACGTAGACGTGAAGAAAAGAGAAAAACATGGAAATTGGATGGAAGGGGGAAGTATAAGGGGGTAGCTATATGCACGTATAGCAAGAATTGGTCCGGAAACGAGCAGTACTGGACTAGGAAAGAGGCTGCATTCACTAGGGAACCCCACTCGAGAGGTGTAGTCAACCCCAACCGCCCCCCCCTCCTCCATCAACATCCAAAATGGACAACAAAAATTTGTTGGGTAAGGGCATCTCCGGCGCTGAACAGAAGAGCAGGAAGAAGGCCCGGCTGGCCTAATTAGGTCAAACACCATCCTACAAAACATCCATCTCTCGTGGTCCAACTCGTACCCAAAGGTAGGCTGCTAGAGCTAACTTCGGCTAGGCGGGCAAACGGATAGGTGACGAGAAAAAAAGGCAGAGGTCGGATGGCTCAACAAGCCAACCCAACCGCGGACAAAAAAGATGTAAGGAGTCTTGCAAAATCTGTAGAGCAATTGTAGTTTTTGAATAATTAGTTTAAATATATAATTGGTACAAGTGCGCCATCTCCTTGATGATCGTTACACTAACTTTCACCTTATAGTATTATGAGTTTAGTTGAGATGTCGCCACGTACGTAACTCCGCCAGAAATAGCATTTGAATTTATGCGTTATGCGTTTATGCATTAAATGGCACTTCAAGATGGACGGAGTTTTGCAAAATCTGTAGAGCAATTGTAGTTCAATGTCCCGGTTTTTTAATACTTAATTCAAATACAATTGATACAAGTGCGCCATCTCCTTAGTAATCAATACACTTTTTTCATGTTTTAGTATTACAAGTTTGGTTGAGATGTCGCCACGTAAGTAACTTTTTTCGTAATTACTTTTGAATTTTAACCACGATCGACATACAGATTCAAAAGGAGTCGGGACGACACCTTTGCGAACCTCGGCCATACAGACACTCCAGGACATAAGAGTATTTGATTGTACGAGGTGGGAAAGGCGTACATGGACGCTGAGAATGGAGTTGGTGGACACACAACCCCACGCACCCTTGCACACTAGACGCGTCGAAGTAATTATTTCAAAGCTTAGGTGGCAATGAAAGGCTCCTCAAATGGTTCACCGTGGTCGTACCGTGCGCGTCGATCATCTTTTTAAACGACACTGTGCTCACGATGTAAAACCTGCTGTCACAGAAATATTTCAACGCCATACTTCGTCTTAAACCTTTACAAAACTTGTATCAGGAGAATATAATGTCCGAGAAGGTGATTGAGAGTTAGCTTAAAGTTTTAGTGTGGTTAGGTTAGAGTGGTAGTTAGGTTAGCTCAAAAATCTTGTATCAGGAGAATATGATGTGCGAGGAGATTGAAGGTTAGGGTGATAGTTAGGTTAGGTCAAATTAGTTTGCCAAAATTTTAGACGCCTAAACAAATTTGACCTAACCTAACTATCACCCTAACCTTCAATCTACTCGCACATCATATTCTCCTGATACAAGATTTTTGAGCTAACCTAACTATCACCCTAACCTAACCTCACTAAAAATTTTTCCTAACCTTAATCTCCTCGCACATTATATTTTCCTGATACAAGATTTTTGAGCTAACCTAACTATCACCCTAACCTAACCTCACTAAAAATTTTTCCTAACCTTAATCTCCTCGCACATTATATTCTCCTGATACAAGATTTTTGAGCTAACCTAACTATCACCCTAACCTAACCTCACTAAAAATTTTTCCTAACCTTAATCTCCTCGCACATTGTATTCTCCTGATACAAGATTTTTGAGCTAACCTAACTATCACCCTAACCTAACCTCACTAAAAATTTTTCCTAACCTTAATCTCCTCGCACATTATATT